ATTAAAATACATCTTGTGGGGCCGGGCAAATGTGATTAACATATGAATGGCACATTGTCCGCATAAATTTGCCATTGAGTGGGACTCCGGAGTGTGGCTTCTATGCCCTGTGGTCACTTGACATCTTAAGCGGTTGCAGATAGGCCGCAGCATCGGCGACCTCGAGGCGCCTGCAAAAGAGTTTCCGGCATTTGGGTGCTCCGATGATATTCCGGGGTTATCCTGCTGGAAGACATGCTGTGCCCCCAATTTCGGGGGGAGGCTGCCGCAAACCTTTTAATGTGCCATTCTCCCGACGCGTCACACATAATTATGGCGGATGTGCTGCCCAGCGAAGCGTTAAGTCGAATTCTCGGTTCTCCTGCTCCAGGATACCCATCTCCTCCCCTCGAACCTCCTTCGATGTCGGTTGCCAGTTGCCAGTTGCCATTTGTGCCCTTTCATGGCTTTCAGGCCATGCATGTATTTTATTTTTTATGCATTATCATGTAACTTCCCAATGGCTGCCTGGCTGCCTGGCTGCCTGCCTGCTGTTATTGTTGTGGCGGCTGCGTCGTCTGTCATTATTATTTATGCTTTATTTATATTTGTACGCACTTCCTGGCCGGGAACCCCTTGCTCGTTCGGCCACACGGCGTATGCGTCATGGCCGCCCACATCGGATCGTGAATCAAAGGAGTAGAACATCCTATGACTTCTGCGACCAGCTTCCATCTCATTGTTATGCTAATGGCCTACGATATATGAATAATAAGCCCGGCCACTTCGCGACTTCTGACCACACGCACACTCGGTTCGAGGCTCTGATTTCTGCATTTCGAGCAGATCCTGTGGGTCCTGCCTGGACGGTGGAGTTCGTCCTTTGACGACGACAGTTGTCGCTTCAGTTATGCAAATGCCATAGGAGCCGGAGGAAGTAGTCGGACTCGGGGGAAGTGGTCGAATATTTGATATCTTTATATCTTTTTTCGAGAGCAACGCAAATTGTTTTCCTCTGTTTCTTGAACACAGGACTCTCGTTCAGACTCACCGTTGGCATATAAATCCGTTGGCCCCCCCAAGGCCTTGTGTGCCTGCTCTGGGTGTAAAAAACCCAAAGGAAGTTTTAACTTTAGTTGTCGTTTCGGCATTCCCGGAAGCTCTTAAAGGCAGCAGCCACAACACGTGCATACGCACTTGGATACGGCTTTCAATGGCCAAAGGATGAGCTGGCAGGACCGAGATGAGCAATCGTAAAATGCGAAATTTTATGTCTTTACCAGCCTAACTGTTGCTTACAGGGTTCGCTTTTTTTTTTTCATCCGCCAGACATCTGCCATAAATCCTGACTCGGGCTTTTTAATGCCCACCTTTTGTGTTGCTTTGTAGCTCATTTGCCATTAATCTGGCGAAACTAAAAGTGAGATAACCAAGGCCAGATGGACTGGCAGAAGAGTTTTCCTCATTTACGACCTAGGATCGTGGAGTGTGCTTTAATAATGAATAAATTAGTAGTATGTATCCTTATGTATGTGTGATTCAAGGAGAAAAAGAGTTTAATGTGGGTAATAAGAGTTTGCCATTCGACTTGGTTTGAATGAAATAACTTTATGGCAGCTACTCATTATGTAAAGAATAGAAAGTGGAAAGCATTTCCCATTGGTTATGAGTCTTCTACCTCATTTGCGGTTGCCATTCGCCACCTCTAGAACTCGTGATCTTTCTCTGTTGTTGCGACCCCATTTTTCTGTGGCCTAGGCACGTTTTATTTGTTTAAGGAACTATTAAAATGGCATAAACAGGAACTCGAACGGCGATGGCAATCGCACTGCTGGGCCAACTGGTCTGGCGGATTGTTGGACTGTTGGACTGGCTAACTGGCATGGCAGTGCCAAAGTTTTATCTCGACGAGCAGGAGGGAGGTGTTTGGAGGGGCCAGCTGCTGCTGCCTTTTGAGCGCATTGTTGTTGGCCGTATTTGATTATCGCATTTCATTTTGTGTCGGGTGAATGTAGAAAGTTGAATGCAAATTTGCATGACACCAACAGAAGCGGCCAGTGGGTGGGCGATAATGATGGTAAAGATGATGATGATGATGATGTTGTTGATGATGATGATTGGGAAGTAGCAAAGGAATACGGCAACAATCACACCAACCATCATCGTAATAATAACAAAGCAGCCAGAGAAATACAGCCCCATCGTGGGGTTCCTTTATGGTTTATTTTTTTTTGTTTTCTTCCTTTTGTGGCCACCCGGCAAAAAGGGGGAGGCTGGGCTGCTGTCAAAGTTTTTAGGTATCATTTCAGTTTATTTGAATTATTCATAATCCGGACGGCAGCGTAAGAAACAAACAGCAACTCAGACAAGGACGGGACGGCAGAAAAAGCTGGCCAAAGATAACGGAAGCAGCAAATAAAAATCGTTCATTGTAAACATTTTCCCCTCGCTGGAAAGTTTTTTGGCAAACAAAAGGGAAACGAAGCCGCAGCTCAAATTCGATTCAATCAACAGGGAAATATGGAAATCCCACAGCGCAACCCACAAAAAAGAAAAAAACATTCGCACCATATTTCAGTGCAAACTGTAAATTAAGTGAAACATTAAATATTTAACTTTGGCAGAAATAACTTTTGGGCTTTTTTCCTCTGTCGTAATTCACCTGTTGAGCCCTCGGAACTTTGGCAATCCTGTGGCCAAAAGAGGACCGTTTTGGGCTTAAAGTATCCCCTTCAAGTGCGCCCATGCAACACGCGAATGCCTAATAGTCAAAGTTTACTTTCCACGCTCTCCGTTTGTTGTTCTCGCCACAAGAGTTTCACCTGACTTTCTATAGCTATCGAACTCTTGTTTGACTCATACTTAAATGTGCAATAAATTGAGCACCTTGTAGGGATTTAAGGAGACCGAGGGGCAGACAGGTGAGAGGTGGCCTCCAGTCGACTCACGACAGTTTTACGACAGTCACGCGATCGCCTGCTAGCGATATAAATAGAAGGGCGGCGTGCCCAAATGTTTGTAAAAATTGAATGTTGGTTAGAAAAGCAACACAGTCAATCACTCAGTTTACTGACAAGATAAACACAAAATGCACGGAAACCATAACTTCATTTCTGTCTCGTTTCACGAAAATCCAAATCCCTTGGTTAACATTAATCGGAACCTTAAAACAATTGTAATACAAGATTAAAAAAAAAAATTAAATTAAAATATGATAAAAATATGTCAAAAAATCGATTTTTTTTACATATCTTCAAAAAAAAAAAAAAATTGCCAAAACGCGGACTGGAATAATTATTGAAACTCTTAATGACCTTCCAAACCCATTTCCGTAAAAATCGGGAAAAAATTTTTTTGCCAAATTTTTCCAAAAAAAGTGATCGGGTGGTCGGTTTTATAGTTATTTGGTTAGATAGCTGAGGTCATTAGCTGTTCAAAACAGTGCGTCTTTTGACTGAGGATCTTATTTTGGCCAAGTTATAGGCCAAACTCTAACCGAAATAACCCAAAAAGCTCAAATTTTGGTAATTGTGGTCAAAACTGTATTATTGTACCCCGTCGGTTACCAAAATAGTTGTCTAAAAATATTTTTGCTACCCCAATTTCTGATTACTGCAAAGAAAGTTTAAGATAAGTTCTGGGAGACCTTAAATTCTTGTCAAGTTAAGGGGTTCCTCGATTTTTCTGAGTGAATGGGCAGATAGGCGGAAAATAAGGAGGTGTGGGGGCAGCAAGAAATTAGCACAAACTATGCCGCAAGAAAAGTTAGTTGCGAAGCCTAATAAGCGGCGCCCATGGGCTCCCCAACGAAGGACTTCGCTCCCCTTCCCTGAATCATCATCCGCCCGGTTGGCCGACGATTTGCCAACGTTTTCACTTTCACATTTGCGTGCTGCTGCTGACGTCGTCTTCCCCATACTTCCCTCCTCCTTTCGCCCTTCCGCGCCTCCTTGTTTCCTTGCTCTGTCGGCGTCGCTGTCGTCGCATTGCGAATTCCTGGCAGCAGCGGGCAAAGTTTTAGCATACTTTTCGGCGGCGGCGACAGTATTTTTTGTGCACTTGACATGTTTTGACACGCTCCACGCTCGTCGCTCCTTCTAAAATCGTTTTAAAGGGGAAGCGAGGGTCCTGGCGGCAGGACCGAGCATGTTCGCCTCGCCGCTGGAGTTTGATATTGTTTTGCGCGCCAAAAATGCAAACGATAATCTGGTGAGCCAACACACCACCTGCCTTGGCAACCTGGCAACTCACCACCACGACCACCAGGTTGCCCAGGACGACGGTTGCCAACTTCCAGGCCTTCCGCAGGACCTCCCCCCTTGCCCGAGCCACTTGCACTTTCCAGGCGTCGCCTTTCCCGTTTGTTTACCTTTGCTGGGTGTTGCTTTAGTTACTGACCATCGGCGGTCCGTAAAAGGCGTTGTTTTTCCAGTTTGACGGCCATCATTTCTGTCCGATTAACGCGTAAAAAATGTTTAATTATTAATTGGCCAGCCGGATTGTTTTGCTTTATCTTTTGTTGTTGTTGTTGTTGTATCGCATTTAATGTCCTGCCCGGAGTGTGATGCGTTTGGAAAAAGTAATTGCTTTTGCCTCGCCAATCAGCCACTCGACACAAAAGGCCGGCTGACAACCAATCGACCAACTCGGCCGTTTAAATAAACAACACCACACGATACGATACAATACCATACGATTCTTTACTATACGATACGTCACACATTATTCGGCCAAAATATTTGCTGGCAATTAAGCCGGGGACCGTGAAAATTACGCGATCCATCAAACGCCGCCCGGCGGCAAAGAAGGCGGGAGGGTATGTCGCGGAAAATGCAATGTGCAATATGCAAATGGCGTTTTAATTAGTTTATTAATCGGCTGCGGCCTCAGCTCAGCAGGTGCAATCGCCTGGCCATAATTTTCCGGCGGGCGAAGTAATTAATTTCTGACGCCCGCAACTAAACCGTTTCTCGATCATTTTTTTTTCTCATTATATGATTTTTTATCTTATTAAATTGTAGCCCCTATTGCTGCGGCAGCGGGACCGAAGCCATCGCAACGCGCTGCACTATTGTGCCGCGCAGGACTCGGATCAGAGCCAGGACCTCGTGGCGGCCGCCAGCATCGCGATCGCAGCTCCCGAGCTGCTGGAGTCGGCGGACGAAGATGGCTTTACCCCGCTCCATCTGGCCGTCATCCAGGGCAACCTGGCGATGGTCAACCTCCTGCTGGCCAACAAGGCCGACGTGAACGCGGTGGACAACGAGGGTCACTCGGTGGTGCACTGGGCCACCGGTGGGTTTTTATAATTTCTTCGGAACTTCTATTTACACAAAAACATTTTTGCTATTCTGTGTTTTTATTTGCTCAACGTAATTTACCTGCAAAATGTTTGCTTTGCACTAACTGAATATGCAATTAATTAATTCCGCAAATAATATACGAACTATTTATTCAAGGCTTCTATTATTTTTTGCCTTTTTAACTAATTCATTTGTTTTGAATGGCTATTAATTAATTGAACATGCATAATTGTTGATATCGGTAATGAATTTGAGCGTTGCTTTTAACATATTATTTCTAATTACGAATATTCATATTATTTATGTTGGTTTTACTTTTCAGTATGCGGTGAGGTGGAGTCCTTGCGAGCTGTCCTGGCAGCAGGAGCCAGTGTGTCCAAGCCGGATGCCAATGGAGGCACTCCTCTGCATTATGCTGCCCAGATGTGCGGTGCCAGTCATGACAGCAAACATCAGGCCAGTTCCAGCTCGAGTACAAAGCTCTCTCTGGAGATCCTGGGCATCCTTTTGTCACATCCCCAGAGTAGCGTCGATGTGCAGGATAAGGATGGTCGTCAACCTTTGTTGTGGGCAGCTTCAGCGGGATCTGCTAAGGCAGTGATTGCCTTGGTTAAAGCGGGTGCTAGAGTGGAATCATCAGATAAGTGAGTTAAATACTATATTATTATTGATTAATATTTTATGTTTATCCTTAATCCTTAAAGGGATGGTCTCACTGCCTTGCATTGCGCTGGTTCCCGTGGACACACCGAATGCATTGACACCCTGATAGGACTTTGTGGTGCCCCCACGGATCTCATCGATTCCAATGGCTGTACGGCTCTCCATTATGCGGTAACTTTGGGTCATGCCGATGCCACTGCTAGATTGTTGGACTTGGAAGCAGATCCCAATCGACAGGATCGCAAGGGACGTACCCCTGCCCATTGTGGCTGTTCTAAGGGACAATTTGAGACCTTGAAGCTTCTGAAAGATCGTGGTGCGAACCTCTGGCTGCGCAATGCGAAAGGTGATCTTCCCCTCCACGAAGCTGCGGCTTCCGGGAGAAGAGAGTTGGTAGAGTGGCTTCTCAGTCAAAGACCCAAGCAGGTAAACACCACCAGTAATGATGGTCGCAGTTTGCTTCACATTGCGGCTGCAAATGATTACACGGATATGTGCAAACTTCTATTGGATTATGGAGCCGATGTTAACGCAGTTTATCGAAATTCAAGGGGCTTAGTTTTGACCCCACTCGATGGAGCTTTGCAACGTGGTCATCGCTCTACTGCCAAGTTTTTGCAAGCTAATGGTGGTCAACCCTCCAACAAGGTGCGATTGTCCAGCAGAAGAGTGGGGAATCCTTTCCACGAAACCAATGCCACCGATTTGGTGAGACCTCTAAAATATGTGGAGAAGGAGGAACTTCATGATTTGCGTAGCTCCAAAAAGTATGTGGTGTACCTAAAACGCTCCGATTCGGATAATGGAAATGGGAATGGAAATGGACGGGATCCCGATGGTGGCTGCAGTTGCTCGGAGCAAACTTACCGAAAGGAGCAGCAATTGAAACATGTTTGCCGGAAACACAAGAGAAGACAGTTGAGAAGAAGAACCAGCAGTTGTGGAGAATCCAAACACGAACGTTGCAGCGAGATTTGTCGTTCCAAAAGTAACATTGAAATCCGGAGGAGGAAATCCCGGGAACGGTATGCCAGTTCCAGTGAATGGGAGGAGGATGACGAGGACTCCTGCGAGAATTGCTGCTACCATAAAAGGCAAAAGGATCGAGTGGTTCCCCGCAAACGTTCCACTTCTTCGAGAAAATCAAAAAACCATGAAGACAGCGATGAGGAGCAGAATCACTCGGCTCCCTCATCGCCGGAAAAGGGATCAAGGAAACCTCTTACCATAAATGGTGATCACCAGGCTGATAATTTCAAGGAGCAAAGTAAGGAGCCTCCTTCATCCGCCAGTAGACATCAAACTCCACCCACAAAAGAAGGAACCTTCATCAAATCTCCAACTCAAAGCGCCAAGAGCGAAAAGTCTGGTCAAATGGACAACTTGCTGGTGGAGGAATCCCATGCAGTGGAACTCACCGATGAAGAACAGGAGGCAGCCAAATCGGTGGTGACCCAGGTGGATGTACATCACGATGCGGATGAGAACCAAACTTCAAAATCTTCCGAGGAATTACCAAATGCAGAGGAGAAGATTAGTGAAAAGGAACAGGAACAGGAAGCTAAGCTGCAGCTGAGCGAGGAGGAAACCCAGTTGGTGTCCAAAGAAGTGGAGCAGGTGATCAAAATAGCAGCCACAGCATTGAGCAGCGAGTCCAAAAGTTCCAGTGAGGAAAAGCCAGCGGAAAAAGAGCTGCCAAACGGGAGCGAAACACCAGGTGAAAAGCCCAAAGAGGAGGTTAAGGAAGCCCCAAAACCACCTACTCCCACTGCCCCGCCCAATGTGCCTGCCACGGCCCCCCAACCACCACCGAAAGAGGAGGCATCAAAACCACCAACCGCCGCCGAGAAACCTCAGCCAAATGCCAACACGGCCGAAGGGGTTGAATCTGCGGCTTTGGAGCCAGCTTCAGTGGGCAAAAAACCTGAGGAAATGAAGCAGGCTGAAGTCAAGCCGAAGCCCAATGCCACTTCCACTCCCCCGCCCACCGCTCCTCCAGCGGCGGAGTCCAAAAAGCCGCCGACCACCCCCCTGCCACGCCCTCCCACAGCCCAACCGCCCACTCCCCAACCGGAGCCACCGCAAAGGGAGCAGGAGACGAGGCGCTCCTTCACCCTTCTGGCTTCAGATTCCGCAGACGATGACCCAGTTGCGAACCCAAATCCAAATGCTCCGACTTCGGCTTCCGATGAGCCAGCCACCGAGCGGAAATCGAGCTTCCAGGTGCTGAAAAGCGATGATTCTCTGGGTGAACTGGATGATAGTTCCAAGAGACCAGGCCGCAAGGTCGACTACGAGGCTGGTGTTGGTAATCAAGTCTTTCAGGTGGTGAGCGAAGGAGTTCCTGCTGCCCAGTTGCCAAGTGCCTCGGAGCTGGAGAAGATGGAGTACGACTACGAGGAGTACGATGATGACTACGATGAGGAGGACAGAGATGGCATCGATCCGGAGCACGATAGTGCCTTGCGTCGCTTTCTCAGCAGTGGGAATCGCCATGGGGTGGGCGGTTCTGGAGGTGGAGTGGCGGGATCAGGAGCTGCGGGATCAGGATCCATTCAAGATGACACTTCCGAGGGAATGGGAAACGCTCGCAAGCGGCGCCTCAAAAAGCGCGTGCGCAGCGGCAACAAAACGCGCAGCAACTGGAAAAACTCTCAGGATTCAAGGGATGGCGGGAACATGGCAGCTCTGGCCACCAGCAAGGATCAGGATTCGGGCTTCGAGCCAAGTCCGCGGGCAGAGCGCAGTAAGATACCCACTCTCCGATCCGCCCACACTGCCCACATGCCGCGTCGTCCCATTTACGCAACATTGGATGGAAGGTCCTGCAGCAGCAGGATGGAGAACCGGAAACCGGGAGACAAGGGAGCCTGCGACATGGGAGCCGTCACCCGTTCCATTCAGCGAAACATTAGGAGGTGAGTACAAAAAAGGATATTTTTGAAAATGAAGGAAAAGTTGGCTTAAAAATGGGAACAATAATTATCTCAGCAATTTAGTAAAATAATTTACATCTTTTAGGTGAAAAGTTTTTTAACACGATCGTTAGCAGCACTAGAAAAAATTATCGCAGAAAGTTAGTAACTTATGCTTAAGCTATTGATTTTTAAAAACACGGAAGATATGCGAGATAAATTCTCTTTAAAAATCTGTACAAATCGACATGCAAATGGTATCCATTAATATGAACTTTTAAATTGTGCGTTTTTTCCCCCGTGCACTCAGAAGTGGGACAGATTGGACCTGATTGCGGGGAGTTCGAGCCCCGGAGAGTTGATGGCGAAATTCATTCATTTAAATTAATCTCCAGGCAGTTAGTGGCGCCAGCGAAGCTGCCTTTTCGGCCGTAGATTTATTTACTTGATGCTTGATTTTAATCAACTTGAATGTCCCGCTGCCCGACTCGCATTATATCACGCGCGCACTTCAGTTTCCTTCTCCACTCCTCAGTTGCGGCTGCGGCGGCCTCTTAATGTAATCAAACTGGACGGAGCCGAAGCCGCCTTAAAGTTAATTTAGCCGGGGATTTAATAGCCTGGTCGGCAGTATTCATTTCTTTTCTTGGCGTTTTTTTTCGGGAGGCCAGTCGGTCCATTGTTGCGCCGGTCGGGAAATAAATTGCCCGGCTTCCGTTCGCCATAAAAAGGAGCGCTTTAAAGTTATTATAATGCGGTTAAAGGCAATAAACGCGGCATTAATGCTCGTTTTCCATGTACTTGAGTATGAACTATGGACCGCCGACCGCTGACCGCTGACATTAAGCCCATTGGCTCAACTGCGAAAAAAGCAGGTGGGCGTTGTGCTAGTGACACATTTATTGGTGACAGGTGCTTAATACAGTTCTTTTCCTACTTCTTGTTTGCTGCTGGTAATTAACCAAAATTAAATGTGTTCCTTGGCCGACCGAAATCGTAAATCATAATTAGGTCAAGTCCAGTTCCAGCTCGTTGGCACCGCCCTAATATCCTGGCTGATTTATTCCAGTGCCCTCGAATGGCCCAAATCTCGTCCGCTGCCAAACCTCGACTGTCATTAGCCGAAATGCTCATTTCCGGCAAAGAGTTGCGCATTTTAATTAGCTGCACAGAGCCATCCACGTGGGGGAAAGTGATGCTGATGGCGTTGGTGATGGTGAAAGTGAGTAAGCGGCGAGAGCAGGGGGAGGATGCCCACCTGCGGTGGGATGTTTTGTTTATGCAGAAACTTGAACAAAATATGAAAATTAGCCGCAAGCAGGCAGTCGTACCGAAGCAAAGTCTTTGGCTCCGTTTACAACTCGCTAATGCTAATTGTAAATGGAATTAGTGCAGATTAGCGAGAGCATTTTTAGAGGTCCTCGAAGGCAGTGAAAGCGGCAGCGGGAAAAGCAAGGACGATTACCATTTGTGTTCGCTCTTCGTTTGCCGGCTTGTTGCGGAAATCCTTTTGTGCCCCGGGATTTCCCTGGAAATTGGCCTACTTCTCCATCTCTACTAGTGGTAATGAAAATCTCGTGTGGGCCTAATTTAATTCTGTCATCCTTTGCTGGTGCTCTGCGGATCGATGACATAAGCCGTGTGCGGCTGTTGCTCAAACTTAAAAGTCAATTGTATTTATTTATGGTATTTGCATAAGCCGGCCCGCAAAACTTAATTAAAAAGCGTAAGCTGACTTTTATTAATTTTGCTAATCTGGCTTGTAGCCCATGAATAAATTTGCAAACATTCACCGAGAAAGAAAAACAAAACAAAACAATAACGGAACGAAAACAGAAGCGAAATCCGGCCGTCGAGCGCATTTCATAAATAATTCTTTCCACTTGACTAATGAAAATATTTAACTCGGCTGTTTGCATAAGCCGTAGCCGAAGCCGAAGCTGAAGCTGAAAACCGGCATCCAGAAACAAGAAACGGGAAGCATTCGAAACCAGAGGCGAAATTACGCCATAGCGAAAACCGTGTTAAGGTTTTCGTCGAATACGCGGCGTATACGCAATGTACGCAAAACGCGAAACCGAAAGTCAAACAAGTGTCTTGCTCAGCAACTTTTCCGAACAAGTTCCTCAACAAGTCTGCGGAGTGAGTCAATTAATTCCCGAAGAATATACGCCGGGCATCGGTGGGGGCGAGAATTCAAATAGAATTTACTCGGGCTTCGAGGCAAAGTGGCGAAAAAAAAGAAAGTAAAAAGTAGAAAGTGAATCCATAGCTCCCAGTCGAATACTCATACTCTGTTTCTCTGTTTCGAGGCTTCGGGTGGGGGGTGTGTCGACCAGGAAAACACCATGAAAAGTGTGTAAATAGAGACTTTATTTTATTTCGTATTTTCCATTTTATTTTTGCATTCGCATGCTTTCACACCCAAACCCAAACCCGAACCAGAATCCGGATCCTGGCAACTTTATTTTTTGTTTCCTCGCCTCGGCTCCGAAGAGATTAAAATTTTATCTGACGCATAAATTAAACAAATAACTTACCGGCGTTGTGTGCGAGTTTGTGTGTCCCAGCAGCACAGGTGAGATTTGGGATTTATAATGTGCGCTCTCACGTAATTGACGTTGTTAAATATTTGGATTTCGTTTTTCGGTCCTCGGCCGCACCCAGAAGTTTATCTGTTGTCCTTCGGCCTGATTTTTGTCGAGCGTCGAGCGTGACAGAATTAGGCATATTTGTTGACCGACTTTAAAGTGCTGATGATGCCGGCCAACTACTGGGCCCTCGGAAAATTCATTAAACTTTTGGCGATTAGTTTAAGCCTTAACCGACCGAGATCTTGAGCCTTCGGCTTGCCGGTTCTTCTTGGTTTTCAGCCATCTAGGGCCACCAAGCCAAGCCAACCAGCCATCCATCCAGCCAGCTAACCACTTGGCCAAGTTTGAAGTACGAGCTCAGAAATATAGCCGTAATGAAAAATGAAGCGGAAAACTTTTCGGGAGCCGCAGACTTTTCGCGAATTGCGAGTGGGTGCGACTTTGTCAACACTTTTGGCGGCCATCGATTTTTGCTAGATGGTATGTACGTAGGTAGGTAGGTTGTATATGCAGGTATGCAGGCCACGTCTCTTTGCCAGGACAGGATTCTCCGGCTGTTTCTGGCCCAGCCATTAACACTTGGCAAAAGGTTTTGCCAAAGCTTGCTTTTGTTGGCCGTGTGCCGCGCAAATTGCCGGCGGGCGGGACTCGTTGTTGCAACTTGTGCAGCGCTTAATTTCTTTGCATTTCGTTGTCGTTGTCAGCGCTTGGGAAAAGTGAGAGCTGCGCCTACGATGGTGCTGACTTTGCCGCCGGCGGGTTTTCCACTTCATCCACTTTGGCGCTGCGTGCACTTTTTGCCTGTCACATTTGTGTCGCAAACAGGAAGAGCTGGGGTGGTTGGGTGGTTCGTCGGGTGGTTGGGTGGTTGGGTGGCTGTCAGTCAGTGGGTCGCTCGGCCGGTGGGACAGTTGGTCGCTGCGAGCGGTGGCAGTGGAAAAATGTGCCACACAAAATCAACGCGCACAAGAAAATGAAATGAAAGTTGTACTAGGCGAACGTGGAGCGGAAACGGAAATCAGTAGCAGCAGCAGCGGCAAAAGCAGCAGTGGCACAAGAAGTGGGTTGACTAGTGGGTGATGATGGGCTGGCTGGGCTCGCTGGGCTGACTGGCCGTGGCAAAAAAATATGCCAAGGACAGTATTGCAAAAAGTATTTGCACAAAGCGAAAGACTTGCAAAGAACTCAAGCGCAACCGAATGGAGCCAAAAGCGAGGCGTAAAATTGAAAAGCGCTTCGGCAAACAAGTGATGGCGATGGCGATGGCAATGGCGATGATGACGACGATGGCTGGCTGGCTGGATGATGGCCACGATAAGGAGGGCCATGATGATAAAGACGGCGATGAAGATGACCACTGCTGGGGCAGCCAGCAAAACAAGCGAAAGAACGTCCAACCAACCAACCAACCAACCGACCGTCGGAGCGCTTTGAAGTCGCTCCGCGGGATTTCTTCGGGCCCTCGGCCAATTTATTACGCCGCTTTTGGCTCACAAGGATTCTTACCTATTTATTACCTGCCTTTCGCGGCTTGCGCCCTTCTAGCCATCCGGCCATCTAGCCAGCTGGGCATCTGGCCATCTGGCCATCGCATCCGTCCCACGAGCAATGAACTTTTGTTTCAAAGTCAAATTGTTTTGCATAATTTCGCGCTGCGCAGCCAAGTGGCGAGCAGTGTCAAGCGGTCTCCTTCCTCACAGCTGGCGCTGGGTAAACAATTTTCCGAAAAACGCCGCTTTTCTGCACTCCAAGTGCCCTCGACAAATTTGCTTAGTTTTTTCGGTGAATGCGCTTCTCTGGCGAGCGAAAGGCAAAGCGAAAGGCTTGCTCGTCAGTTGATTTAGAAGAGTCGCTCGCCCGCAGCCGAGTTAAGCGAGCAACTTTCGAGGATGCTTTTATACATCTCTCTCTCTATACCTATATATATATAAATATAGCTATAGAGCCTTAAAGCGATGCTCCTCGCCTGTTTGCCTAATTTTTAATAAAATTTCTAATAACATTTTACGGCTTAGAGGGTGCCGTTGGCGGCTTTAATTTGACTCGCCTCGCTCCCTCGCTCGTTTTCAATTATTAATAGAATTTCTTCCGCGTACGCACTTTAGTATTTTTGAAATTTTAATAACATGTTGCCTTTTATTGTTCCGCTCGAGCTGCGGAGCAGAAGGTCCTTTGTCAGTGGCTCGGCAGGCGGCAATGCCTTTTGTTTGACTCGCGGAATATCAGAGCGACAGTTTACATACATTTGCCAACATTTGTTTAGCAGGGCTTTGCTAAGAAGGTTCTGATTCTGATTCTGATGCTGTTTCAGTATTTTTAAAGGACAATGGAAAGCGGGCGCAAAGATTGCGCTTTTTCCTGGTCTTTGTTTATGGCTTCCAATCTTTTCCATCTCCCATCCGCAGATACTACATGGAGCGCAAGATCTTCCAGCATTTGCTGGAGCTCAAGTCACTGCAGATTCGCTCCAGCAAACTCAACGAGGCGGTGCTGGTGAAACGGGCCGTGGACGACTACCACAAATCCTGCGTCCTTTTGGGCGGCGAAACGGGAACGCGACTCAGGCGCTACAATTTCAGCGAGTACACGTTCAAGAACTTCGAGCTCTTCCTCTACGAAACGCTCAAGGGACTCCAGCGCCCGGGCACCAACAACTTCCAGAACATCAACGAGGTGTACGAGGAGGTGAGCCCTGCCTGATTAAGTACCTCATCCAGTCTCAGGCTCATCCAATCTTTTCCCACTTTCAGGCGGAGCGGCGGTTGAGTCCGGACTACAATGCCTACGAAAAGGCTCTGCAGTGCACCACCAAGACGCATCGCTGCCTGCATGCCGCCCATGCCTACACCGGAATACCCTGCGCCGCCTACAGTAAGTAATCTGTTTAACAATGCCACGGAGAAAAAATATTTTCAACAAGGAGCAAAAAAATGTAAAAAACTTCAAGCCAAGTGCCTGTGCAAGAATTAAATAAAGACCTAAAAAAACAAAGACCAAAAAAAAATGGAAATAAATATGAAAAAATATTAGAAAGCCAGGTAAAACCCTCTTGTAATATTTGTAAATAAATAAAAAAAACAAAATGGAAATAAATATGATTAAATATTAGAAAGCCAGGTAAAACCCTCTTGTAATATTTGTAAATAAATAAAAAAAACCCTTGTTAGTATTACGCTTGAGGATTAGTTAGCAGTAGTTAAAAATAAAAACAGGTTTAATCTTGATAGAAGTGTAGAAAAACATTTGCTCCATTTATGACATACACGCATAATCGGTTTATTTTCCATTTAGAATTAACAGCTTTGACAATGGCTAAAAATACGGTTGATTAAACAATTTTTTCCCGTGCACTGCGCCCTGCTGCTCCGATTGCTCGAGGGCTTTAAGCGGCTCTGTGCAAGCGTGAAAAATGGCACCAGACAGGCTTTGGCTTTGGCTTTGGGTTTGGCTATGGCTTTGGCCGGGCCAAAGAATCAAATCGCCCGGCCAACTCGTTGGCAACACTTTCGCCGGCAGTGGGTCAAGCGTGGGTCAGACGGACACTCGAATTCAAAGCATCTCAGTCTGCCGGCAGCTGCGGGGCACAAAAAAATATAAATCCTAATTACGAGCGGTTTATTCAGTGCGGGGCAAATTAAAAATATTCTTGGCCAGGCTTGCTGGCTTTCAACTTTTATTACATCTTCACTTTCGACTGTTTCTCTGCCGGAGATGGAGATGGGGCCTCGAATAAAAAGGGGAATGCATCCGGCTTATGCCAAATTAAAAACGCATTCATTTGTGCGCTCCATCTCCATTTCCACTTGCCCTTGTTTATGCACAGTTATTTTGTGGAAATTAGCAAGTAATCCCAGTCGAGTGGGGTCTTAATCCAACCTAAAGGGCGGTCCTTGTTAGTTTTTATCTACCTCATGCAATTTAGCTGAGTGTCTTACCTAAAACTGAATTGCAAAGCCAATCATTAATCTAACGCTTGTCTAACGCTTCTTGCATTGCAGTTCCCATGATGAATCACCACACGATGCCAAAGTTCGGCTTTGGACCGTACAAGAAGACCGGCAGCGTGAGCAGCTTCTTCCTGCCCAAAATCCTGACCAGCGGCCGCGCCTCCAGCGGTCGGGCGGGCGGTACGGGCGGCGGAAGCGCGAGCGGCAGCCGCTGCAACCACAAGGTGGCGCTCGAATTGTCGCACGGCAAGAACAAACAGCTCATTTCACTGCCGGCGGAAAAGCTGGACAGCAATAAGCGATATTACGTGACGTTCACAGTGAAGGACTCGCCGGGATCGTCGGCGTACCAGCACCAGCAGCAGCAGCACTGCAGCAATTCCGCGGGAGGCAAGTAGTGTTGTATGCTGCATGCCACATTACGTATACGCCATGGCCATTGCCATCAGCCAACGGCCATCAGGCATCGTCGCGGGATCCTGGGCCCGCATCCTCGGGCTCCTTTTTGCTGTTTCTGCTGCCATGGCTGCCACTGCTGCCGCTGCTCCAAATGCATTAAAACAATGCCATCGCAACATTTTGTGTCGCTGCCTTTGCCGCTGTTGTTGCAATTGTTGTGGCCACCCGTTGTCCGCGCTGCCCCCTTTTTTTTTCCCATTCGCTTCCTGTCCTGATGCCGGAGTAATTCCACGGAAAATGGGGGTTTTTGCAGGGTGTATCGAGGTTGTATACACTTAACCCACTGGGTTGGCAAAATTCAATTTATTAGGCACAACAGCACAAAAGCTCTTTGGTTTCTTAGGCTTAAATCCAAAGATCTAGAAAAGAGTTATGCGGTTCGATGATTTTTCTTTGCAGGGATTAAACAGCTTTTTGGCTTATAAAATAGTAATTTTGTTTGTTTTATATCATATGATTTGCAACCATTTTTAAATTATTAAAGATTTTTCCAAACATCTAAGCTAAAGCCAACAAAAATTTCAGGTCATTACCTTAAAGTAATTTCTAAAGCCCAGAGGGTAAGGTATAGGTAATTCGACTAGGTGCCCCTGGCATTAATGTTGTTTCTGCTGCACTTTAAGATGGCCAACTGCTGATAATGGATGATGGCTCTGCTCTGCGGCTGTCAGTTGAAGTTGTCACGCCGGCAGCGATGCAGCGTTGCAAGCGGCGGTGGCAACAGCAATTGCTAAGGCAACGGCAGCTTAAATTATGTGCTCCTCCAACCCCGGGCGGTTGTTCACTTGTTCAGTTGTTCAGTTTTCAGCTCTCAGTTGTTCAGTTGTTCAGATCCGTGCTGTGTTGTTTGTCCGCCTCGCATTCTTTTTTGCCGTCTGTTTATTTGTTTGGCTGTTTGTTTGTCCGTTGGCGCTGCCGCTGTGCTTTTATTTCAGTTTTTCATTATCATTTTTTGTCGCAGTCGCTGGGTTTCGTTTTTGTTGGTGGCTACTGGTTGTTGGTTGGTTCGCTGGTTGGTTGGTTGGATGGTTGGATGGCGGGGGGAAATGGCTGCTGCTTGGCATGCTCCTAATGCCACAGATAAGCGTTGTTATTAACGCTCGGCTTACCAGGACTAGGCGACAGGCGTGAGGACATGCCGCCCATCGTCGCTTTTGTCCAAGGATGAGCAGGATGCGAAGGAGCAGCAATAACAACAACAACAACAACAACAGCAATAGCAGCAAAAGCAGTAACTGCAGGGAAGCAAGAGCAGAAGCTAAAACAGATTCAGAATCAGCGAATGAATAAATGTAAAATATGTACCGTGCATTTCTTTGGCATTTCAACATTTTTACTTTATTTGCAATTTTATTTACTTGTCTGCTTGTGCGCTCCCCTCCCTTCACCCCTGCACCCCGTCACCCCGTTACCCCACCACACCCCTCCTCCCCCTTTTTACCATCCCATTCAAGCCATTCAAGCCGTTGTTTGTTTGTTTGCTTACTTCGCGCTGAGTGCATTGTAAATGGAGAATAATTGCATTGCATACAAAAAGCGTCGCGATTTTTAAATTGTATAAGCGAGCAGGAGCAGCAGCAGCAGCATCGCAGCAGCAGCAGCAGCAACGCAGCAGCATTCGCCGTAAAATGATTTCTTTAAATATCAAATTATAAGAGAGCGGAGTGCATAATAAATTCCACGTTTTAAGAGTTCGCGTTCTCGTTCTCGTTTCGCGTAGACCTAAGGCAGCTGTTGCAAAATAAACGTTGAAAATGTCTAAATTGAAGCGGCAGTTTCATGCAATTCCCATTTCACACTCACACACACAAACACACACTCTGAAAAGAGAACTCGACCACATACACGTGGCCGTAGTCAAAACAAAGCCGCCACGCCCACTCACCCACACACACTCACTCACACTTTCACTACGCCCACATGTCCTTGGCATAGATGGAAAAAGCGGGCTGATTGCTCGCTTCGCAGGCGCCGGTATCATTATTTCAGCATCTGCTGAAACGACGACTGCTGACAAAAGGAACAGGCTGGCAAAAAGGAAAACATTTTTACGGCATTCTCGGCATTTTGGCAGCCACCTCCCTTCCTGTTCTCTCCGTATCCTCCGTGTATCCACCACCCCCTTTGGATCCTCTTCCGCGCCGACGATTTGGGCTTGTAAAACCGAAGCTGTGCCGCGGCGATGGCATTCTTATGGCTGCCATGAATGTCAGCCGGAGAAGTGGCTCTTAAAACCGCGGCGACTGCAGCTGTCAGCCAGCCAACGATCGCAATAATCACCGGGCTCAATCGAAGCCGTTATGAGTTTCGCCAGGGCAACCGTCCTGCCATTCAGCTATCCTGCCATCCGACTGCTAATTGAATTCCAAACTGGCCTTTACATTCGCCTCCTGGCAGCGGTTGTCCAATTTCGGTTGGCAGGACATTCGGGCAGGAGCAGTGCTGATAACTGTGTTGGTTAGCTAAAAGAAGAGTCCGAAATGGCATTGAAGTTTGGAAGAGATAAGGTTGACATGTTATTAAATAAATTCTAATTAAAAAAATTGAATGTGAAATATTTTAAGAAATAAAAATGTTGGTTTAAAATACTTAATGGGAGTTTTGGTTTTAATTTTCTTTTTTTGAAGTAGAGATTATCCATATTTATAATTCTTTTATAATTTAAATGCATTATCCAACGACATGATGTTTATGTACTTTTAAAACCCAGAGCGTCAGAGTTGAACGTCCCATTTTGACCCTTAAAAAGTCCTATTTGACCGAATTATGGCTAAAAGGGGAGACGCTGATTGGGGGCATTAATATTTCAAGAGTCCTGTCCGGACTAAGCGGGCCTCCGTGAGCGGTGACAGCGAATTTCGGATGGCCAAAGCCCCGGAGGTCCTGGGGCATCGTTTAATTTATTTAAGCACGCTGCGGCCAAGGAGTCACTCTCCATTTTCGAGGAGCACCGACCGGCAGGCACTCCAGCAGAATGAGCGGGAGTGGGCCAACTGACCAAGGATTTCATTTCGATTTGCGCACTTGCCAGGAAATCTTCGGATTTATGTGGCTTTATTTTCAGTCCGAGTCCTGTTGCAAAGTGCGTTTGGTCCGGATGGAAAGAAAGGGAGGGGGCGTTGTTGGAACTTAAAATTCCTGGCAATTGCCAGGAAAGCTGCAACGAAAGCGCTTGGCAGCAAATGAAAACGCCATAAAATTGACAACAAAAGCAACGGCGAAGGTAAGTTGGAAAGTAGAGTGAAAAGTAAATCCGCACGTGCCAACCCAAATTACGGGGAAAAATTCAAGAGGGGATTGGAAATGCGAGACCACAATGCAGATTCCAAGCAGCATTTTGAAATTAAGCTTCAGCTCCCGGATGTCCTGGCATTCATAAGGTGAATTCGGGGTGGGTGTTTCATTACCAATCGATTTCCCTAATTCGGTTTGAAAAATTCGGAATCCAAGCTAAAAGCGGTGCAGGAAATTCCCAGAACTTCTTTTCCAAATTCCTTTGAACTTAAAGAAATTGTTTATTGAAGTAATTGCTTTGTTTGAGCTTATTTAAAGGTGAGCATGGCTACTTTATTACAATTAAAGTTTTCTCTGAAAGCTAATGAATATATATAACATTTGGGTGGGTGTTTCATTACCAATCGATTTCTTTACTCACTTTGAATGGCCGACAATCCAAGTTGGTGCTCTAAAAAGTGTGCAACAAATTACGACAAAGAGACTTGCATTCGCAGAAACTTTGCCCGCAAAGTTTACCTTCTTGGGAGTTTTTCGTTGGCCCACGCGCTGAAAATTTCCCTCCAACTGTTTTAATCCCCTCTGCATGCCAAGGCCGCCCCAATCCAAGCCCAATTCCAAGCCAAGCCAACACTCCACCTTTGAGATGTAAAGCCTTAATTCGAATCCACGGAATTCTTCGGGGGAAGAGGGAGAGCTCGTGTTTGGCTTTGGGGCAAAGGCAAAAGCAAGGCAGTGGCAGTGGTAAAAGGAAAAGGAGGCGGAGGCGGAAGCGAAGTATCCTTGCGCAAAGTAATGAAGGCGGTCTCCATTGACCGACCGCCTTGCCGATGTTTCGATTACGCGCCTCAAGTGGCAATCAGGATGCAGACGGGGATGCAGTGCCGCAGGATTTGCTCCGCATTAATAACACTTAACCCCTGGCCAAAGTTGGGCAAACAGGACTTGAGCGGACCAAGTCGAGGCATTAATCCTCGCTTTGATGTCCAAATCGGCGGCTTAATTGGAATTGATTTGAACAAGGAACTGGGTTTGGTTTGAATCTTGTTTATTTATTCAGTATTCGGTATTATTATTAACACACTCAGTAGTTTCGACTTAGTTTAAATGTATTTCACTTTTAAGTTTGCCTTTCTCATTCCTTTCTCGTTTTTCGTTTTTAATTTTAATTTATTTATAAATCTAACTTTGCTTAAAAACAATCAGTTTGGTTTTGTCCAGAGTGACAGAGACAGAGAACGACAGGCGGGAACAATCAGATGACTGCCCCGGTGTTTCCATTTATATGTATCTATATATATATATATATTCAATTTATTTTATTACGCATACGCACTGTATATTTTGCTAGTCTGCCATTTCACTTTATGTTTGTATGTATATTTGAAATTAGAATTCGAATTACATTGGAGTATTGTGTAAACTGTATGGCGTATTATTATTATTATTATTACTTTTATGTCGTACTTTTGCTCGGTTACTTTAGTTATTTATAACATTTACACTGAACTCGCTTTTATTGTTTGTGTTGTAGTCGACGAGGGTCTAGGTCGGATGCCCCAGAGTGGATGTATGAGTGGAATTGTTGTGGACTCTGGGAATTGGCTGTTCACTCGACATTTATTCATTATGCACTCGAACATCGAACCTCGCCCTCTTGACTGTTGTTTGCTTTTCGGTTGTTGTTCATCTTCGCCTTCGGTTCGGCTTATTGTGGTAATAGAATATTCATGGAATTGCCATAAATAGCAGCTGAATCTGTCAGATCGGATCGGAGAAGTATGGAGAAAATGGCCCAGAAACAGTGCTAGTCGACCGGCTACGTTTCAATTTTAATTCACCGGACAGCTGTAACTGCTAATGAATCCTATATCGCTATGCAGACATAAACGGATGAACGGCTTTTGTTTTGGCTCGATGCCCAGACACTTGCCCACTTCCGAGGCAAGTATTCTAGTTCGAAGTCTGATGGCCAATAACTTTGAGTCGGCTCTATGAGTCTAATTACACTTTCAATACACACGGCTTACGTAACTACTCGCTTACGGGCTAGTTGTTCATTAATTACAATTAATATTTAACATTTAAATGCAGTTTGATTAATGTTTGCCCGTTCTCTATGTACAGTCGATGGTGCAACAGCAAAATGAGTGTGTCTGGTGTGTAGTCTGTGTATGTGTGTGTGTGTTTGTATGTTGTATTTACAAGTTGTATATTTTGATTTCAGTTACAAGTTTGTAGCGTATTTATAGCGCAGCTTCTCGGGTTTATTCTTTTGATTTTTAATCCGCAGCTCGGAGTTCGCATGACACTTAATGGCTGACAATTACAAAATGGCTTATCCTTATCTGTTGTCTGTCCTCTTACACTTACGCAATACGAATTACCTTTTACGGTAATGCATTTAAATTTATGCTAAAAATTTACAGCTATGTTAAATGAAATGCCCGTGAATTATGAGGCCTCACCGCGCGTGATTGTGTGTGTGTCTCTGTATGTGTGTGTGTTAGCTGACTACGGTAGATATTTATTATTACTTTTTACAATTACTTCAGCGTTGGATCCAGGGTCGTAAATTCCAATTCGCCGCGCGGCAATATCAGATCCGGGTCTGCAATATACACTTTGGTTGGTTGGTATAAAACAAAATCAACAACAATGGCATATGTGGATGTGAATGTAGATGTGGGTGAGCGTAAGTGTATTTGGGTGAGACATAAATTCATGTGAGAGTGAGTAATGGGTGAGAAGTGTGTGTGTGTGTGTGTGAGTTAGTGAGTGTGTTTGTGAGTGTTCAGGAATAGAGAAACAAAGGCAAAATGTTTATACCGATTAGTTTGGCTTGTTTGCTTGGTTGATTTGGTTTGGTTTGATTTGGTTTGTTGCTATTGCTTTTCAGATTCACAACACTTGCAAAATGACATCATAAACGAAGTTGCAAATTATGATTTGAGCGGCGAAAAGAAAAGAGAACCATTAGCAAATACGTAGCGAAAGCGTGACCAACTGTGCGCTGATAACAAAATAAATAGCATCTAGTAAAACAGCAATACACGAACACAATCACAATCACAATCAGAAACAGAATCAGAATCAGAATCAGAAACAGCAACAGAAACAAGAGCAACAGAGACATCAAGAACATTTAACGGAGGAGCATTTCAAACATTAATATTCACTTTTGCTGGCCCAATCACCCCAGTTCGCCCTTTTTCCGCTCGTAAACGTAAAATAATTCAACAATTTCTTAATTTTTATAGCGCATTTCGACGGAATTTATGTGCGAGTCGGTTTTTATTGTGGTGGTCCGACTTATTGTGTCGCCCCGGCACAAGTGAATCTTGAGCGTCATCTAGCGCTTGTTGTTTACGATTTTGCAGTTTGTTATTTGACGTGGCTCGGAACGGGCACCCTGTGATATTTTATTATTATCGCCTTTTATGTCACATTTGTGTGGCGTCTTTGGGCCATAAAGACGCACAAACTAAGGCAACTCTAGTGGCTCTATGTGCGAGTTTTTGTGTGTGTGTGTGTGTGTGTGTTCGGTAGGTTGTGGCCCTTCACGTTTACTTTCACGCCACGCCTGACAGCATTAAAAAATGTCAAATGTCGCAAAAATGTTGCCAGTCGGGATGGCGCAACAAAAAGCGGAAAAACCTCTAAAGGGAGCGGTGCCAAAGGAACGGTTGCGGGGGCGGAAACGGAAGTGCGGCGACAAATGAATGAACAGCGTTGACATTGAGGATTCGGAAGAACGTGTGCGTGGGTGCACTGCAAACAATTGTGGGTGCAGTAGAGAGTTTTAAAAATAGATACGTTTCTTTTGTGTGCGAATCGCTTTTTTAATCTGCGGTTGACAGCTTGACATTATCAACTGAAGATATTTATTTGAACAGTGAAAAATAAGTTATTTATTTTTATTTTATTGCTTGTTTTAAGTTTGTTATATTATTATTTGTTAGAAAGAAATTATTAGATTATTATTATTTAGAAACTAAATCTTGAATTCCCTAAAATAAGCTGATTGGCAATTGGCTTTAAGGTTTTGGTTTCTGTGTAGGTCCTTTGCTGCCGCATAAACAATGTTGCTCAAGCAAATTCTGCGGCATTTTTTGCGGCATGACGGAGACATCAAAGTGCGGGCGCGGAGCAGATAGACATACGTGCTTTAAGGAGTCTTTAAGATAATGCCACCAGGCCATCTAGCCGCAGCAAATGGCGCCGTGTGCTCATTTCGAGTGGCTGCTGTGTGGCTTGGTCTCAACTTTGTCTAATTAGACGAGTGCCGCTGGAGTGCACATGGAACCTACAACCTACAACCTACAACCAACGACCGACGACCGACAACCCAAAACCTACAACCGACAAGCTACAACCGTCAACCTACAACCCACTCGCATTACTTACAATCCAAATGCTCGCACAAAAAGCCTGGCTAGCAAGGACGAAGGCCACACAAACATGGCTCAGACGCTCGCGACTCTTGACTCGCGCGCACACACACACTCACACATTCTGACACACACACACGCAGTGTCACACACACAAAACAACAATGAGACAAAAAGGATGCTGGGCAAAATGAATGGAGCAGCATGAAATGAAACAAATGTGCACAAAAAAGCAGTTCCTCCCCATCCTCCATCAGAACCATCGTACGCAGAGATGTCTGTGGGGCACAAAAAGTCAAACGAATTTGACTGCTCGGGGACTCGCGCCGCCCTTCGGTCTCTCGGTCCCAGTGCCACCTGTACGGTGGAGCACGCGAGACTGGCATATGCAATTAAAAATGCTGGCTAATGACAGCAACTGCCGAGATGTACAGATGCGAATGGCTGTCTTTTTCTGGCCATGAGTTTGTACACGAGTGCATATATATGTAAGGATCTGCGTGTGTGTGTGTGTGTGCGCGCAGTGGCTCACTTGTTTGCCTTGAGTTACGGCGCTGGAAGCGTTTTGCTCTTTCCAGGACCTTTTTATTTCAATTTGACATCGCCGGGTAAATGTAGGGACTATGAATTCCTAGGCAGCTAGGGGAAATTTACTACCCTGACTTGCGACACTGTTCCGTTTGGTTGGATCAGTTAGGAAAGTAGCTTTTAATTGTAATTATCTGGGGTGATTACCGGAGCTAATAATGCAAAATACAACAGATAGTTCCAGTGTTTATGATATATTATCTTTTAGTTTACATTTTTATTATGGATAATGGATTTCCAAATCACAGAAAGCTTTGACTAGTGTTTAAGTTCTCAAATTGAAAAAAATCTTAAATGGCTCTTTTAGTTTTTCTGCTCCATCAAAGTTCGAAGGAAGTCGCTTAAGCTGCCATGCAGCTCAGTGTTATTCCAGCCAAGACAGTTCCCAAAACTGTCTGCCTTCAGTTGGCGTCTTGGCGCAATAGCTACATCTTTTCTGGACTGCTCCTCTGGCGCACTTCAGCCCTTTCAGACTTTGGCACTTGTTAGTGTCTTGTAAGCCAGTTGACTTGGTTTACGTTCTGCCGGGTGAAAGGGCAGCACTGGAGCGGGAATTACAAATACGAACACCCCACTGTGAGTGTGTGTGAGTGAGTGTTTGTCGTGTCATGTCAGCCGAAGAGCCCCCCAGCGCACATAAATTAAACAGGCTGCCGGGGGGTAGTGCAAAAAAAAATAAAATATTAACGAGCGGAAGGGCAGGCTAAAAGTAATGAAAATATAAAATTAAATCGCTGACAAAATCAAATTTAGCTAATTTGCGACATTCGAACCCACGCATCGGGGGCAAAGGGAAACGGAGAATGGGGAACGCAGAGAGAGTCGTGTTTTGTTAGCAATAATATCACGTATACGACACATCTGCCCATTAAATAATATTTGCATTTGCCAGCATGTCGGCACGTCAGGCGCAGGCAGAGCTAGCTGACTGGTGTTTGTGTGCCTTTGTGCTTATTTTTGTGTTTTAATTTAGTGCTTTCGAAATAATTAAAATTTATGCAATTCAAAGGTAAAACAAAGTCTGCATGAGCTCGCACAACAAACAGAGCGACGGGTGAGGAGAAGTGGACTGAGTGGGTGAATAGAAGGGGTTAAGGCAGCAGAATATTTTGCAAATTTGTTGCTGTCTGAGGCATGTTTACGCACAGAGTACATATGTTTGTTTGCCAGTGCGTCGACTGCGCTCCGGAAATTTATGCGAATCATCCCAAAAAGACTTGCCACTGGAACAACGAGTGACACATGAGCGGGTTAAAGCCGGGATGGATTTGTAGCGGGAGCTGGGGAGCGGAGAAAGCCCACAGCTATGGAGAAATAAACAGAAATGTCAACATAAAACAAAGACTAAGCAAACAGCCCCATCCCGAGACCCATAGACTTTCCCATTGTCTTGGGACTCTGAGCTGCATTTATCCTTTTTAAAAACAATATTTGCTTGCACTCTCCGATGCGTTTGTTTAATGTGTATCCAGCCTTGATTTCCGAAGCGGATGGGCGGCACAAAAAACTCATATACTTCAATTAGCCTTTATTTAATATCTGTGATTCACTCAGCCGAAACCTATCTCCGGACTTGCAGCGTTTAAACCGAGTTAGCCAGCTCGTCAAAGGGAAATCATGGGGAATGCCGCAAATAAATGGGGAATCTTTCGGATATTTTTGCGGCATTTGGATGGCAACAAAGACAAGCCAAAATAATTACAGATGCACAAAGGGAATGAAGGAAATCAGATGAAAGACATGTGAGTGCAGGGATGTGGCAACGTAACAAGCAAAGTAAATTGGGATGCCAAATGGACGACAAATTAAAATGTGAAATGGAGCAGGACTAGAGCCATGTTCTTGGATTGGGGCGATATTAAAAATACTCCAAATGCGAATGCGAATGCGATTGCGACTGCGAGTGCAGAATTCGACAGAGAACTCAGCTTAGACATGACTGCCCATCTGGTGCAGCTGCAACTGCAGTTGTTCCTGTTTCAGTTTAAGTTTCGGTTTCAGTTTTTGTTTCTGTTTCTCGTTCTGGATCTGGATCTGTGTGCGAAGTTGTCGTCGTTCGACCTGCTGCACAGATTTAGTTACATAAAATTTACTTTGCATACATTCGGGCGGCCATTGAGTGTCTCGGCTCCCAGGATCAGGACATAGTTTCGCCTGGGGCACGGCCAGGACGAGGCTCGATATGTTGGAACTGGTGCTGCAAGGCTGGCTGGATGTAACGAGGAGGGGCAGCAGCACGTCGCCTGGGTGGAAGGATAACATGGAACGGCGTTAGGACTGAGGACACTCGCAAGGACGACAACTCGGCGGATGAGCTCGTATTCGTAAACGTATACGTGTGTGGGGGGCACTACATTGTTTTAAATACTGGGCAAGGTATTTACAACTGCAAGTCGAGGATTAAGACAGTTGGGAAAGCGAGTGGAGAGTGTGGTTCGCTACCTACAGAGAAAGTCAGAGGAGGAGGCAGATACTCATACTCATAGAGAGAAAGACAGAGAGATAGAGAGAGAGAGAAGGGTAGAGAGGGGTAGAGAACTATGGCTAAATCAGGCGGGATTTCAGTGGGTGGTTGTTGATGATTACCTAGTGTGCCCGGCTAATGCAAAGTATCTTCCAAATACTCCAACTAATCGCTTCAACCGCTTCAACTCATTCAAACCGAAACCGATTCAACGCAAATGTAACGAAATTAAATACTTTGATCTGCGCTAATTAGAAAAGTGTACTCGTATGTCATAAGCTACTTTTGTGAATGCTAAATGAGGGGCAATTAGTTTTTCATTTCCATTTTCATTTACATGTGCTCGTGTACCCACTAGTTGGCAGCCAATTTGGTGTTCGACCGCATCATTAGCGGACTCAAGCCAACCCAATTGTTTTTACATGTGGTCCTTGATCTCCTCCGCTTCGACCACACACAGCTACTCACATGCCAAGTACTTAACTATGAATTAATTTTTGCACAAGTATGATATGGTGAGAACAGTGTGTATACAAGACCAACCAACTGGCAGGTCAGGTCGCAAATCAATTCGTGTTCGTGCATTCCCAAACGCTTTGACATTTATTCATTTTGCATTGCGGCTAAACAAGATGTTAAATTAATCTACATAATGGCTACAACTCAACAGTGTGTGTGCGTGGGGTGTGTGTGTGTATGTACAGGCAAGAAAACTATGTATTTACATAAGGCAATAAATTCAATTGGGCAAATCAATCAACTAAAGCTACGGATACAAATACAAATTAATAACGAGAGCGCACTCGGCTCGCAACTCAAAAGTCCTCGAGCAAACCAAATGGGGATGCAGTCGCAGAGCAAGGATACGATACGAGTATGCACTGATAAATTGATGGCTACTTGACTATAACTACGGATAAATAGCTACGTCTACGGCTACAACTACAGCTTGTTGAGTATAGATTTTGGAATAGTACCGTTTAGGCTGGGCTGCGCGTACTGGATGAAGCTCTCCGAGATGTAGTGATGGGGTCCGGCCACGCCCACAATGGCCCCGCCACTCGAGCCCACCCCCGGCATTCCGCCCATTCCTCCTGCTCCTCCTCCTACTCCTCCGCACAGATGGGCGTTGGGCGGGGCCACCCGCGCCCTTATCTCCGCCGCCCGACCGCCGCCCTCCTCCAGTTCGTTGAGCTCATCCTCCTCGATGTACATGCTCGGCACATCGCTTCGCGCCGGCCTAGAAAAAGAAATAAGAAAAGGAGAAAACACAGACATTGAATAAATAGTCATCACATTCTATTAAAAGTTCAGGGGCTAATAGTTCCCCGGGTAAGGGCAACCCGCTTTTTTATGGAGTACAAAAACAGCTTAGCGAACCAGAGAAACTGAGCCAGCTGCCAGCTCTCGGGCAACTCAAATTTCAATATAAACAGCAACATTCAAAGCCCCGTCATCACCTGGGGAACGACTGGGCCAACTTTCCAGGGACGCCCCACCCACTTTGTGGGAACGAGAAAATAAAATAAATTCATAGCGCGGCGGGTGCACACGGCGGATGCGCAATATCGAGCTCTGCGCTTTCAAAGTAAATTTAATGCGTTTTCGCCGGCGACTCCCCTCCATCCGCTCGATAAATATTGTCAAAAATATCAGCGTTTCTCTCGAGGACCCTCGAATTTTAATCATCCCGCTCGATGGTCCATTGTAAATTAAAAATAAACCGATTGCCGTCAGCAGAGCTAATTACGAGTACGCCGCACTCCATCTACAACTCGTTTTATCAGTTCGTCTGACCAGCGCACACGTGCGCATCAAATATTTGCACTAATACTTTGCCGCAAAAGGCAAATAATTAAAATTTATGCATAGACGCATATGCGACTGAAAAAGGTGGGTTTATTTCTGGTGCTCTGGTGGTGGCACAGGTGCGCCAGATTTTATTTATGCATCGAACTGACGGCACGGAGCCATGGAGCGCGTTTGACAGTTGTGATGACCATTTAATGACCCGCATTCGGCTCGCTTTGATGTGCCCGCGACTATTTTCGGCAACTATAATTAATATTTCGTTGGATTTCGCTTTGAAGTGGTTGCCCGAATTCATTATTGAGTAATCAGCGAGGCGGGCCGAGCCAGCCGGAATCAAAGAAAAAGCCATCCCATCGGGGTAATGCGACCTGTGCCCCCGAACCACGTGCACCACGTCGATACAAAAGGACCGGGGCTGCACTGTGTTTATCTTTAATTAGCCAACTGAACGGGCAACCAGGGCTAAGCAGCTGCTTAATTACCCACCCACCCACGGGGCACGACCCTTTCGCCCCTTCACCCCATCGCAGGTACAGCGTTGATTTCCTATCTAAAATGGAAACTCTCACTTGTGCGGCTGCCCCGTTTCCGGCCCTCGTTTACGGCCATTCTTTTGCCACGAACTCGGACCCTGTTGGGCTGTTTTGCTCTCGGCCTCCCGGGCTGTCGGGCTAGTCAGGTGCAGGTTTAATTAATTTAATTACAGACTAAGCATAATTTACTGGGCAGGTGCGTGCTGGTCTCTAATCGATTGGCGGCCTCAAACTGTTTAGGCGATCGCTCACTGATGAACCCGACATTTACCGGCCCAGATTGGCCTTTCGACCTTTGGTCCTGTAAGTTTAAAACAAGGCCCCCTTGATTGAGCGGCCATTTCTGCGCGGCTGTCATTTAATTACTTTCTGCGTAATAAGCATAAGCGAGGAATGCGCAAGAAAGTATGCTACGCTTTCCGTTTCACGGTTTCCGCTCTTCGGATTCCACTCCCACGCGGCTTTTCCACTATCTTGGCTGTCAGTCACGTGCCCCACATAAATAATTTCGTAATTATTTCTGCACACACACACGCAAACAAACACACACACAGACACACACAAAAGCCACCCACACATGCCGGCAGCAAACAATTTCATTATTAGTTTTCCCAGCATCCGGATCGAAACAAAGGGCAAACGTAAACGTAAGCGTAAACGCAAAAGTAAACGTGGACGTGGACTCACCGCATGCTCTTGCGCACCTCCTGCGGCTCAGGTGGTCGCGGCCGGTGCCTGCAGACCACCACGATGCCGGCCACGATAATTGACGTCACTATGACGGCGCCTATCACCACGACGGCGGCCAATATCAGCAGCGTCGACTGCTTCTCCGGACCGCTGCCCGTGCTGGCGCCGGTGCCCAGGCCGCTCGAGCTGCCGCTCCCGCCCACGCCGCCGCCTCCGTGGTGCGTCGTTTCTGCGGGCGTGGGGTCCTCCGACAGTATGGATTCATCTGGAAGAGAAGAGGGACGATGCCATTAAAACACTGAAGCAAAAATATGGGGAAGTAGGAAATAAAAAATAAAATAAAAGTAACCAACATTGTGTTGACCCACAAATTTAACTAAGACTAAACAATAAAATTTTTTTAGAGCTTTCTATTACAAGCATTGAAATCATCAAAAGAAAAACATGATCGGGGGTCAAAAAAGTGACCATCTCCGAATTAAAAAATCTAAACGGGGTTCGCTAAGGAATTTCATCACAAACGTTTAGAGGTACGCCACTTTGGAATCGGATTAAAATTGGCGGAGTAACATGGCCTAGAAACCAAACTACACCCAGTTTTTTTTCTCTGCATAAGCATGTGTGGAACGGAGGGCTTCCTATAGTTTCGAGGGTCTAGGAATGATTTGTTATTTGCCCGGAATTAGTTTGATGCTCCTGCTGATTTCTGTTTGCCCCGCCTTGCTACCGTTTATTTATTTATTTGTTTTGCTGCGCCGTGTTCTTTTGCCTAACTGATTGCTTTTGACTGTTTGCTTATTGTGTTTTTCTTGATCCCTTGGGACGGGGAAATCGGTCTGAAAATTGAAATTAGCCAAATGGCTGGGTACTTGGCCATAGGAGGAGATCTGCGGGCATGATAAATAGGGGCTGCTGGAGAAGAGGAATTATGAAAATCAAAGACTACGAGGCCCCAGCTTCAGCCACTTATTACCAGCGATTAGACCTGATGGCACTTGCCGCAAAGCCTTGGCAATTATGAGCAACATGTGAGGCATTGTTTATATTTATTAGATTTCCAGCCAACGGAAATTGCAGCATAATGTGTGGGCTGGGGCCCGAAGGTCGAGGGCAAACTGATTGTAAGATGATCCCCGGGCAAGATTTATGCCAAACATTCGTTAATGCCAGCCTCACCGATTCTCGCTGGCAGGCAAGCATTTCCGCTCCATTTGCGGGACGTCAAGCCATCGGCCTCGGAATTGAAACATTGCCAACACCGGGCCATTGGGGCTCCCTTTTGCTGGTCGCTTGCTCTGGGTCTTGGCCTGGTCCTGGTCCTGGCTTTTTGAGGCGAGCGTTTGAGTGGAAATTGCCTACACCTGCGGCTCAATTTAATTTTTGTTGCTGCCTTCCGTTATTGCCTGGCCTCTTGGACTGGATCGGCTTTGGCTTTGCCTTTGCCTTCTGATGCCATGGTTCACAGCATCTCAGTCATCGTCTCAGCCTGTTTTTTAATCAGTTTGCTTTGTTTTGGCCTTGGCTGGCCCTCTCCCCTCCATTGTTTTCCTTATTTATTCGCCTTTGATGCTTTTTTCCAGCTCAAGTGGCCACTTTGCCTGATATTTTTCACGTTTTGCCTTCCCCTCAAAGTGTAATAAATTCTCTTGATGAGTTCTACGTAAACTGATTTAAATCAGCGTCAGCTGATTTGCCTTTATTTTATTTATTTTCTTGAATCCGTTGAGGTGGCAACGGCTTTTGGCGACGACCTACGGCTGAATTTATAGGTCCACATATGCCCACGAAAATAAAATCTGCGTAGGCTCGGGCTGTTAAAATTCCGCATAAATTAGAAGGAGACCCCCGTTCTCCCTCGCATTGGGGAGTCTATAGTCTCGGGCGAATTTACGAGTTCGGCCCGAAAAACGAGTCTGCGGCAGCCCATTAACATACATAAGTAACTGGTGGAAGCCGAGGTGCGGATTCCGGGCAGCTGTTGTTTCATGTAAATAAGTTTGGCCGGCGGCTGCGAATCGATTGCACCGAAAATCTAGTGAGTGCGCGTAATCGAACATTTGCCTATCAAATGCAATTAGCGCCATTAAATCGGGCAATATGAGTGATTTATGGCTAACTGGCGAGCGGAGCGCACACAAAAACGAAATGGAAGTGGAAACGGCCAAGGCGGCAAATGGAACTGGAAACGGTAATGGAAATGCAGATAAAAATAAAAATCAGCATGAAAATAATGACAACATTGTTGTCGTAGTTGTGTGCGAGAGAGCCGAGAATGGCGAAGGAACAATAAAAGAAAAGTGTCTACGGTGGCCGTTAAGCAAAACGAAAATTGAAGCAATTCCGCTTACGCTCGGCTCACAAATACACACACACACTCATACATATACAGCCACGTAGAAGGAGTGCTTACATGTACGCACACAAAGACTGGCATTCGCATTATGTCGTTAGGCAGGAGCAAAATGAAGAGGCTGTTGCGGCACGCCCCTGCGTATACGTAATATGCGTGTGCCCCACTCAAGGAATTGATGGAAAATGCTGAAATGCTTTCCGCTCCACTGCATAACTCAGTCAGTGGATTAGAAAAGGGCGTCTCGTCCTCGGGCTGGTGGAACCCCCAGGTTTGCTTTTCCTTTTCTTCCACTTCCAGGAAAAATCCCATATATGTGTCTATGTGTGCGAGTGTGGGTGTGTGTGTGTTGGTGTGACGCCATGTGCGAACTTTTCGCGGCGGCTGATTGAAGACGATTTCCCCGAACTTGCGTTGATTTGAAAGTGCAGTCAAGCGTTGAATTAGACAGTTCCGTCCTCAGCTGTTTTTAGGGGCTCCAGTTTCGGGTTTCTCTGGGTATTTTATTGGCCCCCGGAAAAAAGTGACCCACAAACTAGCAACTGGGGTGGCCATAACTTGCGCTCTTTATGTGATTAGCAGGAGAGTCCTGCCTTTTTTCGGTTTCCGTTTCAGTTTGAGTTTTCACTGCCCGACTGACAAGTGTTCTGGCTCTTTGGAGCGATACGATTGGACTACTCACCATATGGTCCCAGTTGGGCGGCCACGCGTACATTCTCAATCACCACCGGCGGCTCGCTTCGTCCTTTGGCGTTGACGGCGTAAACTAAAAATTGATATTCACGTCCCGGCTCTAAATTATTCAAACGAAACTGTGGACTGTTCTCCTGCATGCGAAAGATGGGTGCAGATGTCGCCTGGAATGATACATACAGATATATATATATTTGGCTGATTTGGGATGCGAATGCGAGCATGAAACAAGCGCATTTATAATTCACTCGCCATACGCTGCAAAGTATGCCATGTATTTTTAACTTTTCGGTCCCGTCGCAGACCCAACGCATAAATAATTATTTAAGCCTAAAAAATACTCAACTGTACAGGACACAGAAACTGAAACAGCAACAGCAACAGCAACAGAAACAGGACAATGTCTGAAATTTAAAACTGAATATCCGTTTGCCGTAATGGGACACAATCGAGTGAGCTTCGTTGGTTACGCACAAATTCCCACTCAAGTAAGCGTAAGTAATTTATGTTGTCCTTGCGGCACTTTTCCAAAACCCCACTGCTCTTGCTCCTCCTTCGCCTCCGCCTCCTCCTCATCCGTCTCCTCCTCCACCGTGCGAATGTGTGTCCTTTATCTAGCATGAAACTTTAAAGCAGCCAGCCAACGGACGAACGCGTGGGTCAGAGTCCGGAGACGAAGTGGGGCATCCTGGAGAGCCCGGCCGCCGCCACCACCAGTACCACCGCACCACCACCACCATCGTCATCATCGTCGTTTCATTTTCATTTCCATTTTCATGACCATCCTCGTGATGAGCTTTGCGCTTGGCTACTTTGCTAATAAACTCGCCCGGCCAGCGCTTCATCAAGGCTGTTGAGAGCAGCCAAACGAAATGGAATGAAATTTTCATATGATGTTCTCATCTAAGAGTGACAGGGATAATTTAATAACTCAGCATGCACTCCCCCGAGTGCCGGACAAAGGGTAGCGGCGGACTTGGACCTGGGATTCAAGGGGTTCCATATGCGAGAGGGCTCGCAGCATTAATTATGTTGTCCCTTTTACACTCGAGCTGAGTTGAGCCCAAGAAAAGGATCCCTTACCGCTCCCCCTCCCCGAATATTTATTAATAATTCAAGCAGAAAAGTCAAAGGACATGCACACTAATTGACCATATGGATTTCAAGTGAATTATTGCCAAGTCTCTCGGCTCTGATGTTTCTGTTGCTGTTTCTGTTTCAGTTTCGTTCGGGCGTTCAGCCTGGGTTTTTGCTTCCGTTTCATAGCTGCCGGCTGTGTGCCGAACCGTGAGTAAATTTTAATTCAATATAGCAATTTGCGTTCTGCCTGCCGGAACTTATCAAGTTAGGCTAACTAGATTCTGGAGCTGTTGAAGCTGCTGAAGCAGCTTCCGCTTCTCAACTCACCTGATCGTTGAGCGTGGATATCTCGTTGTCGCCCAGGCCAATGGCCTCGCTGAACTGGCCTCGTCCTTGTCCCTGTCCCTGTCCTGCTGATCCACCGGGATCGTTGGAGTAAAGTATGTCGCCGCCCACCACCTCCAGCATGAAGTATTGCGACAGTCCGCCGTCGCTGCCCGCCACACAAACCACCTCCAGAACGGTGTCGTTGCGCAGTTCGCAGGCCTTCGGTGCCTCCGGAGTGTCTGGAAAAAAGTGAACGAAAGGGGGCGGGGGCGAAAAAGGGAAGGGTGCCCAGATAGCAGTTAGTCATAGTCATAGACAAGCCGGGGCTTAATGGCCCAGCGGCCACCCCAGCCGTAATTGCATTTAAAAGCAGCTCCTGTCGCCTTAAAGCGCCACTTTGCCGCAAATGAAGGCGTTGCCACGTTAAAACAAAAGTAAGGAGTGCGTCACGCCCTTAAAATTATTAAGTCAGCTTAGGTTTTCCGGCAGAAAGTGGGGAAAACAAAAGTCTTTAAAAGTAGGAAGATACGTTTTAAATCTCAGCAAACTTTTGAGGGAAATTATAAACCGAATATGCGTTATTAAATTTAATAAATGTTTATATTAAAATCTTTCAAATTAGAAAGCAATAAATAAAGGAATTCAACATTTTTCATGGATTGCAAGAGTATTGATTTTATGTTTATGTTTGTGAATGCATGATATCTTTTTCCTGAGTGCATAACCACGCCCCTAGTTTGCATTAATAACAACTGAACTCGGCCAAAACTGGGAGCGATGGCAGGCAGTTGAGCTCAACCTGAGGATTATTTGGCAACATTTGGGGAAAGTACACCGGCACCCGTACAGCCGGCCCCTCCCTCCCCTCTGCTCTTCTCACTCCCCTCCCTTCGGCACACACTCGCCAATTATGTAAGCAGATCCTTATGTGTGCATAAGATATAGAAGGGGTGTGGGGGAGAAAGGGGAGCGGGGAAGCGGGGGCCGACGCCACCGACACCAGGCTTGTTTAAATTGCGGCGAAGATGGAGGTAAGTGCCGGCATCTTGTGGCAACGACTTCCTCGACTCGACTCGACTCCTCGACTTCCACGACTTCCTCGACTTCCACTTACTTGCCGGCAGGATGTGCACCAGACAGGGCGTCGTTTGGCGGCCCACCGCATTGCTGGCCCAGCAGGCGAGGGTTATTAACTCGGAGTCCGTCTGCGGCAGGTACGTCACTGTGCTGGCCAGTCCGTTCGATTGTATCCTCGAGTTGAGCACCTGTAATGTGAAGAGGAGAGGACGGCCAAAGCCGGTGGATTAGAGCGGCTCCATTGTGCGAACGTAGGCAGGATCAACTGCAGCTCGACTCGAATCGAAATCAAAGCAAACCGAAACGAACCATAGCAAGTCAAACCAAACCGAACAAGCCAACCAAGCAGACCCAATCGAAAACGATTCCCAGTCGGGCCAAAAGCAAAGCAAAGCGAAGCGGAGCATAAATATTTGAAGGCAAATAAGTTTTTATTGCAAGCCAAACGAATCGAGCTGGAGACGGGATAAGTCATCCTGTGGCTCTCCGGCTTTTCCGTGCAGATTTTCAAATAACCTTTGCGGTAAATGAATTACTTTATTTATTGTGCACAGCTGTCCCAGAACCGTCGAGTCACATATGCAAGTCGTTCGGTTCGTTTGGCCGGCTCCTCCTCTTATTTTAACTCCTCCATCTATCTATCTCTGGGATTTTTCCTCCTTTTTTTTCTGCCAGCTCTGCAGTCCTTTGCTTTGCACCTAAACGGTTTGCATTTTAAATTCCCTCGAACGGAGGTAGCATCCGTCTGCCCTTTGCCCTCACCGTTTCGAATTTATACATTTTGATTAAATTTTAATTCAGTCACGTACAACGCTCGATTCCCAGCTCCGACCATTGTTCGTCTGCTCGGAATTGTCGAACGAAAATCCCAGACAACCCTCGAGTATTTAGCACAAGTTCTGCTAATAGCACCCGACTTCGAACTTGGATCCTTCCTACCTTCCTACCTTCAGTCTGCCGGCTGGCATTCCTAGTAATTGCGACAGTCGGGTCGAGACCGGGCTGCAGCACGTTTCCCGGCATAATTACAGACACAATAAGTTCGGTTTGGATTCCGGACAAGGTGCCTTTGGCCCAGACCCCCAATGCACGGTAAGAAACCATCTAAAGCTTGATTTATGGAAATCAAATTCAGGGAACGACTCAGTAAAATGTATACTCGTAAATAACTTGGCTCTGCATTTCATATTTTCTTTAAGAATAAAAGAGTTCCCTTTTTAAACTAAATAACTTAGTTCATGTTACTATTTCCCACTTTAGCTAGTTTAGCAATCTATATTTTTTTCCGTGCTCTGAACAGAAGTAGTATTAGGATGACTTACCGGTGACACATTCCTGGTATTGTTGTAGGTCCAACTGAACCGCACGGAGTCCGGGGGATCGGCGTCCACCTCGCATTTGACCAGAATCGAGTGGAGGCTGACGGCTCCTATGGAGGTTTGTTCGGTGCCCGCTTTGCAGCGCGGTGAAACTGCGAAAAGATGAGCAAATCGGGAGCTTCATAAATATACACGCCATCGAGTTGTTAGGCAGCAAAAAGTTTCCATTTTAAATTCGTTCAGCCGCCCCCTTGGAGAGCAAACAGAAGGGGGGATTTTGGCCCCATCCCCCTTTGAAATACACACAAAAATATAAGGAAAGATGGAGGTTGGTGGATCCGAAGGGAAGTCGAGCCAGCAACATAGCCTTGAGCATAGTAATTAACATGTTTCCGTTTCACGAACGAGGGGGTTTTGTGTTCTCTCCAGGTTCTTCAGCTTCTTTTTTTTTATTTATTTATTTTATGTGGAGCTTAGCGGGGAGATCGGTGGGCCAGGTATCGGAAGAAAAGCGAGTCAGCCGGCGTTTACTTTCACTTGGCTGTGAAATGAGAGCAGATATGCGGAAGCACTGCCGTGGCCCTCGGGGAAAATGTGTCTGTCTGTTTGAATACCCGAGCGCTCAACTCTCGACTCGACTCGACTGGTCTGAGTTGGTGGGTAGTACTATAGTATCCCAGATTGTGTGCTGAAAGCCGCCTTTAAAATGTAAGTCACGCCAAGGCAGATAAGCATTCGGAGCTTCATTACTACGTTCTTGGCTTTTATCACAAGTCAGCTGCATTTCACCGTCGAATTCTTAAGCCATCTGTCTGCGTCTGAGAACTTGTTGCTGTACACTGTCCCTGTGTGTGTGCGTGTGTATAGGTGTGCGTGTGTGTGTGTGGACCCAAATGTGGGGAAAGTTACCTAATGCCCAAGTCAATGCAAAGCAAAGACTCTATAGAAACTTTCATAATTTCAAATATAAACTACTTAAACTGTCGTATGATGCTCGAGAAGGGGTTGGAAATGCATTTCGAGATTGTGAAATTGTCAAAGTAGCAGCCAAAGAAACGTGGCTTGGTTTTCCTGTTGGCCGTTGTGGCAGCATGAAAGGACCTTCCCTGCTCTGTAAGCTGACAACACAATAAATGCTGCCAACAAAGGGCTTAGCATCTCGTCTTGGAGATTGTAAGCCATGTGGATACCCGGGTACACGAACCCGGCCAAATAGTGTACTTAAGACCCACTCGTGTGGCTCCAAAAGGTTCCATCGATTGTTCGGGCCTCGCTCTGATTTATGCAACCAAATCGCTTGTGCGAGTAGTATATGAAATCCACATTAATCACAGCACAGAGAAAAAAGGCCAAAAAGGCTGGGAGGTTGGCCCGAAGGCAGAGCGAAAAATCGGACCGTGAGGTTTATGAAAAGTTTTCGCCTAACGAGAACTGCGAGTGCTGGATTTATAGGCGAAAGTTGTGTCTGTGCGTGTGTATAAATCAATGGTGTGGTGGTGGCTAGGTGGGTGGTTGGTTCTTTAGGCCAGAGGCAGCACGAATTTTACAATTGTAAACAAGCGCGCAACAAACGCCGACAGTTACAGATGGAGTTGGCGACGGTCATGCATCATTTCTAAGCAATTTCCCCATCCGCCCCGTTGCCCCGAAAAAGTTTGGTAACTTTCATTCCGGCAGCAGCCATTGCTTGTTGATTTTGATTTTATTCTGCAGCTTCCGTTTCCGGTTTGCCATGTTATTTCATCACGTCGTGGCCCGAATTTCCTCTTCCCGTGCCTCTCCTTTCTCCTTCCCACATATAGAACGTAGTTTGTGTATATTTTATTTCGCATTTTCCACAAGTCGTACTTACACTGCACTTTTAGCGTGAGGCTGGAGCTCCGGGTTTCGCCCTCCGTATTTGTGGCCCCGCAGGCGTACGCCCCCGCACTCTCCCTCTCGAGCTGCGTCAAGTGCATTATTTCCGAGCTCTCGCCCGACATTCGCATGCCCTGAAATTTGAAGAAGGGATATTATTACGGGTTTCAATTGGTTGCGGGAAGGTTGTCGAGGATGGTTAGCCGATGAAATCCAGCCATCGGGGGGCAAAACTGTTAAAAACGATCTAAATTGCGGTTTAAGTCAAGCGTTCTGCTACAAAAAGTTGAACTTTTTGCATTTGAAAACGTTTAAGCCTCTCAAAGCTTACTCGCAATACAGATTTTCAGGTTTACTTTTATTTTCATAACTAGTTTAACTTGTAAAACTTCACACTCGCTCATGAATAATTCTATTTATATTTAGATACACATTTAAATAAAAGTATCTATTTTGAAAGACTCTATTTATATTGTATTTGACTAAAATTATTAGAATTATTATTTGGGGCTAGCAGCATTTGGTCTTAGATGACACAAATTGCGGTGGTGCCGGCTGCATTGTCGAGTGACCACAGGAGACCCACAGCCACCACCAACCACCAGCACCATCACCATCAGGAGCAGCACTAAATGGCAACCACAATAGAGGCAATGCTTCCCGCCCGGCGATTTGCTATTTGCCGAGCGGCAGTGCGGTTTCCGCCGCCTAATGCGGTCTCTTAGTGGCTCGAATAATGAACGGATTTTATTAAATCAAATTAATGTTTTTTTCGGCTTCCGACATTTGGCACTGTCGGCGCTCCGACGAATTGCACATTGAATTTTCCGAAATCATCGGCGAGGCCGACGAGTGACTTCATGCGGATGCGAATGCTCCATTTGCACAGCTTGACTCCGCAATAATTCGATTACGCATTTGGAAGCAAAATCCCGGCTGACATTTGCACATGCGTTTAATTAATTCGTAATAATAACAATAATGCAATTTACATAGCTTAAGTTCCTTCCACCGTCCACCCGGCAATGTTGCATCATTCACAGCTAATTTGCACCTGGGCCCCACAACCCCATCGTGATATAGATCCGCCGCAAATTGGCCATGCTGCATCATTTGATTATTTGTAAAATTCATTAAAAAGCATCGCTGCGTTGATGGAGGGCGGTAATTACATTGGCCCTTGTGCAATAATGCATTTAACAATGCCGCGCTGCAAAGTTGGGAACACACACATTTGTGCACTCGCTTGAAAGCTGCTTTAATTCGATTCCTCTGCGGGATTTCATTAATTTGCCGAGCACTCTTTACCGCCGGCTAAAAAGTTAAAGTCGACCCAGTGCAAAAGTTTGTGGGAAGTGCCAAGGAAAAGGCGGAAAACAGTTTGATAATAAAAATCTATACGGCAAACTGACGTCGAACAACTCGAAGAAGTGACAAAGTTGGCTCTTTGGAACTTTTTGCGCACATTTGCTCACTCGTTTTTCATAATTCTCTGCCTCATTTTCTCGTTGCCTATTAATGCCAGAAAAAGGAAAGCCGAAAATCAAAAATCAAAGTGCCCTAAATAAAGAGAAGTTTTCAGAAAACCACCCCCCTTTTATCACATCCCCTGTCAAATGTTTTTGGCAATTTGTTAACTGCCCTACAAAAAAAAAAAAACGGGAAAAATAAAAAGGAGAAGAAGTGATGGAAAAATATGAGCTCGGGTTTATGGTTTTTGCTAGTTATGAAAAATGATGATGTGACCATGTGGACAAAACTGTCAAAGGATGTCAGAATCGTGCGGTTTAATAATAGGAACCCAAGACAAAGTCACAGCCAGTCAACAATGGCTGCCCGAAAATAGCAAAAATGGACAACTGTGAAAGGAAAAGCAGAAGCAGAAGCAGAACCAAAAGCGTTTGCAACAATCTCAATCTCTTTCGGTTTATTTGTCGCATGATTAATAGCTAAATAATTTGCAACACGAACGGACTTCAATGGACATCATGAGCCAATTATAAGACGTTTGAAAAATGAGCCTGGCATTTGTTGGCCCGCTTCTCGGCACTTCTTGACCACATTATTCTCGCCCGGCAGGAATGCGAGGCTGCTGCTTTAAGGACTCCGGCTAAATGAAATTAAACCGCAAAAGTGTCTGCTTATGGGGCCGCAGGAATGTCGACGCCTTGGGGCCGACAACAATTGATAATAAAAATTTCGAAAAGTGTCTGATACACGTCAGCTGTGCTCCTCGTTAGCCGGGGGTGAAAATCTAGCAAGTTTTGTGGAAATGGATGATGGGGGAGGGAGATGGATGGGGAAGGATGGGGAAAAATCAGTGGGCTTACTCACATTCTTGAACCAGGAGTAGCTGGTAACCGGCGGTCTGGCATCCGCCCGGCATTTGAAAGTGACATTCTGTCCCTCGGCCCGTGTCACCAGTCTGCTGGGATCCTCGTTGGCCAAGTGCACCGAAACCGTGGGTGGATCTGTAAGAAAACAGGCGGGCAAGCAAGTAAGTAAGTAAGTAAGTAAGTGGCGGCATCCGGCTTAATGAGCGCAGCGAATGGCTGAATAAAAGTCAAAATAATAAACGGCAATGGCCCGGGAGGTGAACTTGGGTCTGGACAACAAGCATTGCGTAATGTACTTAGTCCCAGCTGCCGTATATCCCTATATCCTTTGGCCTGCCAGCGGAGGCCTCGTCCTGGCCGCACGGCCTCTTGACCACACGCCAAATGGGACTATTAGTTACGGTTGTAAAAATCTAATACGCGTCGGAGACTGTCGGCGCCACTTGGCCCCAGTCGGTCTTTTGTGCCCCAATCCTCCCCCTGTTCTCCTTATTTGATGTCCCAGTGCGGGGCAGCAACTATAGAGGTTAGTCTTCGGCTTCCCTGGCAAATGTCAATGGCGTGGGCTGGACGGCAGAAAAAACGCTGACGTTTATGGTGAATTATTTAGAAGCAGCGCAAAATGAAAAGCAGGCGAATCAAGAAGGTTGCCGGCCTGATTTGAGTGCAGGTAATTCAGCTTTCTATATTTTGATACACTCCGAAAAAAGGCTAATCCATGATTAGTTATTCGTAATACAACCACTTTCTTATTTATATTTATTCCTAATCCATTAAACAATTTTTTGTGGCATACTAAGAATCTTTGTGAGTTAATCTTAATTGGTTAATATAACCAGATTTCTAAAGCTTTATTTTTCCTAGTGCATCCAAGCCAAACCTCCGCCCTTTTATCCGAGAAAACTTTAACGAGAGCAGCAGAGGGAATAATGTAAAGCGGAAGCCGGAAGCGGATGTTGCAAATATTATGGGGGCTGGCAAAAAAATGAGCAATAGAAACATAACGGTGCAAATTTAATCAAGGCAAGTCGAAGAACACGACATTGAAGTCAACTTGACTGCATTTTATAAGCGGCTTAGTGCAAGCTGGCCAACAGGTTGATGTGGCCTCCAGCCAACTTGGCCGTCTCCGGCTCCCTTTTCCCTCATGGTTCCCTTGGCTCCCTTGGCTCGGTTGGCTCCTTTGGCCTTAATAGAATTACGCTGGCTCTGGCCGTAATATGCTTCTAATTGGACTTTCCTCCGGCCGGGCCATCATGCACACACATAGGCCAAGACCCGAGCAGCCTGTGTTGCGGATACACAAAGGCCTCTCTCTGCTGGCCATGGCCCCGTATTCAGGCCCAGACCCAAATACCCAGCAGCCCTTGTTCCACGGGCCAGCTCACTGCCAATAACAGGCAGCGAGCTCACCTGTCGCAAAGGAGCAACGTGTCCTGCGGTACTTACAGGCCACTCGGATGATGCGCTTGTCCTCGATGGCGCCACCGGAGAACCAGGGATTCGTGGCGCGACACGTCAGCTCGGCATTATCGTTCTCCGATGTTACCTTCAATGTCAGGATGCTCGTGGTGATATTCCCGTCCTGGGTGAAGAAAAATAGGGAATAAAAGGAAGAGATTACTAGATGTTCATGTAAAAATATCCAAAGAGCAGAAAATGTAATTTAAGTTAGCTTAAGCTAGTTTATTAAAAATTGTGTTTATCGTCTCAACATATTATAGTAAATTTTACTATTAATTTGAAACTTAATAGACATGCCTTCACACTGATAAGATAACTATTTATTTCACTCGTTTTTATATTAATTCATAAATTGCTATTTTTACTGTATAAGCATGGGATACTCTATCCGGTAGAGATTACAGTTTTTTCCTGTGAAACTTGCATTCTTTGGGCCTGTCATATGCCCTCCTTGATAGACAGGTCTTCGTTAGTTTGGGATATGTGCTGTGGCCTCTCGAGTTGCATTTCACAGCACGCTATTTGAAAATAATGACTCGGGTTCCGAGCTAAGCCAATGTCCTTCCAACGGCAGCACCGTCAGCCCTAAAGTAACCAACGGAAAAGCGAGACAGAGGAGCTCATGGCAAACCGGGTATTAAGTTACGACATCAGCCAGCGCCAGAACGGAGCTCCAGCAACGTTTTGGCAACAATCAAAGCCAGGTTGGGAAAACCAACAAGCGCTGGCTTTCCGTCCTGCCTTTCATGTGTGTGTCTTTCTCAGAAAATCTGTCCTGGAATCGAAGCGAAGTCGGTTATGCACGAGTTGACTAATGCCCGGCGACGTTTGGCAGCACAGAGTCTATCCATTTACATGGCATAATTAGAAAGCGAAAAGGGCAGTTCCACGAAACACAGAACACAGAACTAATGGATGCCGAAAACTGAGACTTCTCCGAAGCCAAGGATCAGATAAATGCCAGTTTGAGTGGGAAAAATTGCCCCCATTTGCTAACAAATTGTTCGGGGACGTTGTCCATGAATTCCCCGGACCATCGAGTGCAAATTTGTGCAGCTCGACCGAAACTTTTCGCCAGTGCAGTTCATCAAAGAAGCCGACTTTCTCCTTCATCCTGCCCAGCTTTCCATCCTCTTCTGTTTTTGTCTCTCTCTGCGGCTGCTGGAAAAGTTTGCCTAGCTCGCATTTAGGGTCACCCAGTGGTCGCCTCGGTTGCCTTTGTTGTTGGCCGACTTTGTAGCTATTAAACGCCGCACAGCTCTCTATATATATATATATTTTGATATATATGTATGTATACAAGTGCCTGCTGCACTGCGGCCAGCTATCAAATGTCAAACGCTGCAAGCAAATTTTCCGGCGCAAAGTTGCGTTGTCCTGGGAACGGCAACAAGAACGAAAACTTTCTCCTCGCTCGGCCTTTGCCGCCAATCGTCGCGCCCCCGTAAAAAAGTCCGACAATTTCGGGCAATTTGGCAAGGACATGCACTCACCTCCTTGTCGCTGTGAACGATGACCTCGGCGTTCCGGATGGGCTCGCCATCGAGCAGCCACGTGATCTTCGCCGCCGGATAGGAGCCCCAGGATTCGCAGCGAATGGGAACTGGATGTCCGGCGGTCAGCAGTTCGTTGGGCGTTGCGATCTTCACGCGCACGGGTTTTACTGTGGAGGAAAAATAGTTGTCATAATGTCGTTAAAAATCCGAAATATGGCTTTCTCGGAAAATGACCTAAAACCAGCACGCGAAAGCGCATAACTTTTCTTAATGATGTTCGATTTTGGTTTGGTATACCTTAAAATGCTTGTGAAAGAAATGAAAGAAATGAAATGAAACTGCATCATTAGTTTGGTTTCGATTTTTGGGTCGATTTTTTTTACACTTTTATAATGTTACCCCTGACAAAAATCTTTTGAAAGCCCATTACTTTTCTTAATTGCTGATGACTGCAAGGGTATATTCGCTTTGACTCGCCGAAGCCAGGTTTATTTTTTTTTGCTGTGACTAAATTTTTAAATTCTTTGAAACCTTAAACATTCACTCGCTTATTTGTTTTTGTTCAGTGACACGAAAAATAGTACGATAAATTTATTTTTTGCCCATAAAATTCTTCTAACAATTATCGTTTGTTTTTTATGTATTTAATTTAACATATACGAGTATGTTTATCTCTGCTGGCCACCAATAAAGTTAATAGAACCTTTCGGTCAACAAGTCTGATAATCAACAAATGTTTTTGTGACTCTAGTTGGAGCGAAAAACTTTATTAGCCAGGTAGCTTGCGGAAATGTAATGTAATGAAATGCAAATATTTATGCTTTGCTGGGAAGGGGGAGAAACTCACAGTAAACCTGAACGGTGACATCCTTGCGGACGGGATCCACCAGCCGCGTTCCCTGCGCCCGGCACTCGATGCGCGCCCCATAAAAGTCCCGCGTGGTGGTTCCAATCAGCAGCTGATTAACCATCACGGTGGCCCCCTCCTCCACGGAGGTGTGGCTGGTGCCGATTAGCTCCGTGTCGTCGCGCCACCAGGTGACCTTTGGCGGAGGGCGTCCTGGAAAAGAGGGGAGAACACTTAGTAGAACGCTGATAGTATACAGTCGTTGTAGTAGCAATAGCAGCAGCTGCTCGGTTTCAGCCCCATGCGGGCCTCTCCACCAGATGGGGAAGCAGGATGTGGAGGAGCATCCTTGCCGCTTGCAATTGACACTCCTGAGTGCGATGGTAAACAATGCGTCAAACTGCGGTTCCAGTGGCGCTGACAAACACAGTTAAACGCATGACAGTTAAGTGGGTCAAACCACCGCATGAAGTGCCTTCAAGTGCACAGAAAAAGTTTTAAATGACATGTGGATTAATCTACTATGAAGGCTTATCAACAGGGGGAAAAAAATACAAATATCTTTTCTAAAAAATATTTCATATCTGTTTGTATACAACAAATAATGGTTTCGCTTACACTTTTCTGCTTTACCACTTAATAATGAATATTATATTTAATTATTATCTCTACTAAAATAAAAGCTAAATAAGTTTTTTTTAATGTTAAACTCTTAAAGAGCTTACTGTTTCAAAGGCTTTGTTGAAAATGTTTAGTTATCATCTTTTAATAGTATTAAATATTTTTTTGTTCTTTTGTGGTAAGGTGTTTTTTCTGATGTAGCAAATAGAGAACTGCCACACAAGTGCAGGCTGCCAACTGTATCTAATTACTCACCTCCCCTCACTTGGCAGCACAGAAAGAGCTCGTAGCCCTCGCGGAAGGGTCCTGCCAACTGGGCTATCTCCTTGCCCTGGGCATCGAAGATGCGCGGCTCCTCGGGAGGCACTGAAATGGATGCCGGATAATGTGCCACTTAGGAGTCAGCCATTCCAGGGGTCACCACCACGGGTATCACTTACCAACTAGGGTCAGGTTGTGCCTGAAGTTCCGCGTTGGCGAGTTGAAGAAGTCGACGCGACACCGATAGACTCCGCCATCCTCCGGCTTCACATCGTTGATCTGCAGGCGCGAATCCTTGGGATTATCGCCGATGCTGAAGAACAGACGCTGCCCCAGATCGCTAGCTATTGCCGCGTGGGGCGCCACCTTCACATTGCCACCCCGCGAGTCCAAGCTGCAAAGGGGGAAAAAATACACCAAGGATATAGTGGGAGGGTAAGTGAGGGGGCGTGGCAGCATGTAGCGATTATTAGATGTCATAAATAAACATATGCGGAGAGCATAAGTTAGCCGGCGTTCCCCTTCGTCCCTCGCATAATTTAGGTCCGTAAAAAATGACGCTCAATTTGCACACCATGAGCCAGGAGTTAAGTGTGGAGTGCTCCTTCGCGTTTGTCTGTGTGCAGGACGAGCTCCTGTGAGAAATATGGAGAGGGGGATGTGGAGTACCCCATATTTTCCCTCCCGCGACTTTGGCAGCTTTGCGCAAATTGCAGTAATTTGTTGCTGTTTTAGTAAATTACTCTGTTTATTTCAGAACCTCGGGGTGGCTACCGCCTTTGCTGCTGGTACTGCTGCATTTTCCTGCTTATGATTATCGAGTGCCGGCCACTTCACGTGCTCGTCTGACACAGATCCTGCCCCTTCCCCGTCCTGCCAGGCCAGCCATAAACTCCATAAACCCCCTTCTAATGAGTGCTCCCAAGATTTTCCCGGCTGCGGCACGCAAAGTCGGAAGGCATTTCCACTTGGCATGCAGGGCACACGCTGGCTGCCACAATTTATATTGAAAATTTATCAGCGCAAATTTATAAAAATCCTTTGGAAAGGACGAGGAGAAGGGGAACCGATGGCTTGGGGTCCATATGCGTGTGTGCGTGAAAATTTGCTACACTTTAGCAACGACAGCCGTAATCGGATGTGCTTTACATTTATTATAACAAAGTGGATTATGACGGGCGCATCCTTGCCCCAAAACATCCACGCACACACACACACACACACCGACACACATGTAGATTGTGTGTACATGCGGCATCTGCCGGAAATAAGCCAAAAGCGCTCGGCGAGCAAAAACACGTTAGGTGTAAGAAAAGGGATGTTGACGATTATTTCACACTGCTGATGGATGAATAAATGGATGGCTGGCTGGCTGACTGGCAGGCTGGCAGAGTGGATGATTACGCACCAGTGGCCCCGGGATGTGCGAAGGATTCGCAGTAGTTTCGCTCACCTGTACAGCGGAATGCCCGTGGTGTCCTTGAACCAGAGCAACAGCTTCACCGAGTCCTGCGGCGTGGGCGGTGTCAAGTCGCAGGGCAACTCCACGGTTTTGCCCAAGGCGGCCCAAACCAATCGAGCGGGTACTGAAATACAAAAAGAAAAGGTTTTTAACTCAATTGCACTGAAAGGAAAATCAATTAAAATGTAGAGAAAAAATATATAGGTATGCAAAAATTATATTCCCATCAGTTGATTCATTTAAAATTTAACTTTATCTATTGTAATATACGTTTCCAAAATTATTTTATTACTCAATTTCTTTTCATATTTTCTCAAGCATTTCAACATCTCCAACAAAAAGGTTGTCTTGCTCCCACATTTTTTGATTTCAAAAGGATTTCCCTCATCCTTCTTTCCACACATCTTTTCATTTTATTAGCAAGGCAAGAGAACTGTCACCAGCAATCGAAGTTGATCAAGGATACCTTGCCGTGCGATATATTTATTTATTATTTGCACTTCCTGCATGATTCGGCTGATTGTTTGTTATTTTAACACAAAGCTTCCGCTTGACATTCGCGGCAGACCCGCCCCCTTCCCCGAAACGACCACGCCCACTGGCCACCCACCACCTCATTTCGATTCCGTATTACTGTTATTGTTGTTGTTGTTGTTATTGTTGTTGTTGTCGAAGTTGTCATATTGCCCTTGCCCCGCTTCCGTTTGCCGGTTGTCGGTTGTCGTCACCAACGTCGTTTTCCGTTGTCGAGCTTGATGTTTTCTTTTTGGTCCTTGTCGGTTTCTCGCTCCCTGAACTGCCCACCTTTCGCTGCCACTTTTTCCATTCCATTCCGTTCGACAAAAATGATTTCTTGTGAATTTGTGTTGGGCCCATGTTTTGTGTTATTTTATTTGACAGGGCAACCTGTAAAATTTCCACATTGTTTCCGCCTCAGCTGCTTCTTTTATTTTTGCTCCACGTGAACAATAATGCGGCTGTCGCTCCTTTCGTTTCCTAACGTTTCGTTCGGAAGCCTCGTTATCTGGTTGCTTAAAGCTAAAACTCTGCTTAAATTGCCCGGAGTAGAGTTCTGTTTGTTCGCCGTTCTTTAAATTCCAAACTCAATCGGCTCAGCTTTTATGGCTTAATTTCAAGCGACACCAAACTTTGGCACCGTTTCCATTTTGCAAAATATTTTTCTGCTGCTGTTTTTTCGCTCTTTGATGTTCAAAATGTTTTTTAGCCCGAGTGGATGGGATTAGGAGAGGCAAAAAAATAAAAAATAAAGCAAGAAACGGATGCAGCGGAGCGTGGGCAGCAAAAATATTTGCAAATTATTGAAATCCCACAGCGCAGCTCTCGTTTAAGCTGTGTTCTTTTGGCCGCAAAGCCAAAGAGTTGGCCATTTGTTATGTGCCGCGTTGCATACTTGCCGGCGCGCACTCGCTGACAACTTGAGCAAAATGGCAAACACTCTGCTTTTGCTGCTCCTTCTGTTGCTGCTGCCGCTGCTGCTGTTGCAATTTGTCAACGCTTTGGCTTGCGGCAGGCTGTGCAAATATGTGGCAAAGCGGGAAGACGACACCTAGCCGTAAATCCTTATGAATGGCCCCGGATGTAGGGGTTGAAATGGCAGTGTCTAAATCCGAGCACACACGCGTGTGGCTGCACAATTCCCCCGGGCGAAAGGAATCCGGGTTGCAGTCGATTTCCCAATCTCTTCCTGACCAATTAACCAGAGCGCAGGGAGCACTTTTGATGTGCTCCCCCTGATTCCAGAGCTATTTTTAATTGCCTCTGGCATTTGCCCAGTTGTTAGCTGCTCGTTTCTAATGATTTATGAACGAATTTAATTCCTCCATTGGCAGGCCGACGACGAATTCGTCGTCTTTGATGTACGCCTGCCAAAGTTCCAAGGCGAACGAGAGCCGAAAACGGCACAAGTTCTACCTGCGACCCTCCCTCGGTTTTTTGATGTTTTGTTTTGACACATCGCATTATTACCGGCTATTTTTAGCGGCCTGTAATTTACTTAACCCAGAGCTCGGGGAACGAGGGCGCGATAAGAGGCTCCATTCAATTGGAATTTCCACCGCATGAGGGAGTTCCTACGCAGCTCATCATCATTTGTGCATCGGTGCATTTGACAGGCTCTCAGCATGGATCAATTAATTTCCATCGGATGCGCTGAGTGTTTATGGCTGTTTTATAATTCCAATTAAGACAATGCCCGACAAGCATCGTGTTTTCGAATGCGTTTTCCGATGAAGTGAAAATAGGAAAATAGGAAATGCGCTTGTGCGATCTCTTTGGGCGGAAGAGGGAGTTTACTCAGGCAGCACATAAAGTGGTTCTTATTTTATTTTACGATTTTTCGATTCCCATTTCCATTTCCCCCGGGGCCCTAAAGCTTTAAGTTTACTGGTAAAATTGCGCATACGCAGCGTGTTACTTTGCATGCATAAACCAAGAGCAGCCGGCAGCTTTTCGTGCCCCATTTGGCTAGGCCGTGAGCCAGCAAGAACCCTCCGCTCTGTGGCAGCAAGGCCACAGCCCCAAGACAACGTTGCATTAATTATGCAGTGGTTGGTTGGAGGCCTCTGCGGCTCTTTAAGGCGAGAGGCCCTTCGCTAAAGATAAATATACATTTACCATATATACGCAACACAGCTAGCGGATACATTGAATTGATTTTTTCTGCGGCTTTTATTTTAAAACAAATGTTGGCTGCAGTCCAATAGTTTAATGAACTTTTGGGCACAAATAAACCCATGGCAAGCGGAAAGTGTTGCAAAAACAATAACAGAGAATCGACAAAGCGTTTGGCTAAATAAACTTAGACTCACAGGCTGTCCATTAAGTGTGCCGTGTCATTGTAAACATCAGTTGCACCAAAAACAATGCTTATACAACAACAATTGTTACACATGAAAGGAAAACAAAAGAAAAGTGATGCAAAAAATGAATTTGGCAATCTTTCAATAGTTCAGTTTTTTTTCGGGTCTGGCCAAATGGTTCGATTGAATTGGTATTTAAAGCGTAAGCGAGTGGAATTCGGAACGGGCCATTGGGGTTGACACATAACACATAACACATTACACATACGCACTGTATGCGCCGTGCGGTTTTGTTCTGCGGTTGCGGCTTTGTCTCCTTGGTGGATGGCATAGTAGGTAAATGGTGGATGCACGGGTGTGGCCGGGGTTTGATTGAAACGTTTGCCAAACGCACATAAAAGTCAATTACGCAAAACCAGTGGCGGATCCACGGGGGGGGGTTTTCGGGTCCGGACCCCCCCCATGGGATCATAAACTTTCAAATTTTATGCTTTTATTGGGCATGTTGGTGGAGTTGAAACACAAAGTTATTGATACAAATTCGTAATTTAATTTTAAAATATTATATATGATCCACAAACGGTTCTAGTCACTCTTAAATTTCCGAGGTTTTTGAAAAAACTTTCTGAGAATTTCGTCTTCAGTCAAAGTTATGCGATGATGAATGTTCAAAGATGCAAGACCATTGACCATTTCTAACCCCCCCCTCCCTTAAAAAATTTTGGACCCCCCCCTTATCAAAATCCTGGATCCGCCACTGCGCAAAACATAAGTTAGTTAATTAACTGAAATCAGAGCGAGCTCAGCATAACTGCGCTCCCGATTCTTAGCCCTTTTTGTGTGCCTGTGTTTGAGCTGCTTTCCTGCCTGCTAATGAAAAGTTTATTTAGAACGGTGGCAAGTCGGAACTAAACCAAATTACAGGCAATTGCCAAGATAAATATTTGAGTTTCACTATTCAGAGCGGCAGCAGCAGATGATGCCACACTGCGCCAGTTTGCCGTTTGCCATATGCCGTCTAAATAGGGGAACTCTTCGATGCTGCTGCCTCTTAAATATTTTATTCAGACTCCGGCCGGACTTTGCTTTTTCATTTCCTCTCCTCTTCCGTACGTTCGTCTGGTGGACTTTACTTACGGCTTTTTATCCCAGCACGGCTGCCTTTGCCGCGTTGGGCCAAATTGTTTACATTTAAATTGTACATTATGGCAAACACACACACACACTCGCCACAAAATGTAGCAAGTTGAGAGCGAAAGTGGTTGCCATTGCGGACGGACCTCCTGCTCCTGAACTCGTGCCCCGCCAGCTGTCGGGTCACGCCCCCCTGCCACGCCCCTTTGTAGTGTAGTCAAAGTCGTCAGTGACCCTAATGTACTTTCTCACACTTTTTAGCATGCATTACGGGCTGCCTAACATGGTTGCCTTCATTCGGCGTGTGTGTGTGTAAATAACTTTTAAAGTGCTTTACTTTTGCACACACGCACACACACCCACACACACACACGTACACACTCGCTCTGTGGAATTGCGAGTATGAATATTTACTTATAATTAGAAATGCCAGAATGTTTTGTTTTCCTTACTTCAGCCTTTGACTTTGCCTCTGCGTATTTTTCTTTTGTGTGTGCGTGCATGTATGCGTGCGAGTGTGTGAGTGTGTGTGCACTTCCTGTTGCCGCCATCTTTGGGGGCAAATAAAGCCAAAAAACTCTCAACCTGAGTACATGACTCTTGTGTTCTCCTTCCTTTGTTTGTATTTGAGTTCCCTACTTCGTTTCGGGCAGCCCAGTGGTAATATAGAAATTAAGAAGCTCCCTGCACATAAAGCACAACAAAATTTTACAAAAATTATTTAAAGACCAAACGTTTGGACAAGTGTCGCGAATTCATGGCGCCAAAGAAGAAGTCGAGCAACAAATGTTCGCGCCAGGCGATTCAATTAGGCGAAATATTTCTTGGCGGCCCAAGAAACAAAATATTTCCCAACATTCTTTGCAGGCTTATTAATAACAAGTGTGTGCCTAATAACACTAGAAAATATAACGAGCACTTTTAATAAATTATGAATTTTATTGAAGGGAAAATAATTAATCGCAAGCAAGGAATAAAGAAATTCACTTTTCATTATGTACAGGGTGCGCCATCTCGAGCTTCGGTATGAAAATATTGAATAACTTTGGAAAAAAACAAAAAAGGGGTGTGTCCAGCCTACGCACGACAGAAGTGAAACTTCTTCATCACTACTCATTTTTATACACTTGCAGAGCAAAAGGGTATTATAATTTCAGTCAGAAGTTTGCAA